AACAAGTGGGGGTTTTGTCATGGAACATCCAACTCCAAAAAGGTTGCCTTTTTCCGAGCATTTCTTCCTCCTCCAAAGTTGAAGTTGGCGGTGTTGGTTGAAACGCGTGGAAAGATAGAGAGCTTTCCTTTTTTTTTGCAGTAGAAGATGTGATAATCTCGTGTATGTATTTTATTTCATTTAAGTCGTGTCTCACATGAGTCTATCGCTATTAATCTCGAGCTAAACATTATGAGCTTTATAGTTGCCAATTAATTAAAAGAGAGAGTATATTAATTGATTTATAAGATTATATTAGTGTAGTGTTATTATTATTTTATATTTAAATATTTTTTTGAAGGAAATGATATTTGTATATTCAATTGTCACATACCATATGAGATGTGAGATGTGTTAGATTATATAATTTTATTTAATTAGATAAGATATATTATAAATATAATTTGATTCTGGTTATTGATGAATAGAAAAGAAGTTCATATTATAATAGGATTTCTTAGGGGATACTTTTGATGGGAGGAACTCTCCTAATAATTTATTTTAGACTATTTGTTCTCGTCTATAAATAGACAAGACCTCTAGGAGCTAAAGAGTAGCATCTTAATATAATTAAGAGATTAAGATTTTTTTTCTCAATCTCCCTAATCTACCGATCTACCTGATCCTGATAGAAAGATAGGAGAAGTAGTGTCTAGTTCCTTTTATAGATCAGATAAAGTTTATTCTTCTAAATAATAATAAAAGATATGCATCAAAGTATTGTTACATCAAATTTTATTTTATTTCAATCTAGATATAAAATTTTTTTCACGGATATTACAGATAGTATGATTACAAATTTTATACTAACAAAATTATCTTTCATATTCAAATAATATCTAATGTCAAAATATAACTATCCGTTAATGATCAAATATTTTTAACTATAGAAAATCTCGTTCGATACTTTGATGAAACACTCGATATAAGTTATTACCCTTTAAGAATTTTTTTAAGTCGTGTATGCCTTTACCATTTTTATGACAAATCTAATATTAAACAGGATTAATAAGTTAAATGTCTCTTTGAGTTAGATTTTTACGGGAACAATTTTACAAAAGCAATTTACAAGGTATGATCAGATGCTAAACATATAAAAGCATTCAGGAAAAGGAGAAGCGAAGGCGGAGAAAGCTGATGACTCCCCAGCCATCACCCGTCTTTGCCGCCTCTTTAATGCTAATTCGAGGAGACGATGGGACGATGTGCCCATTACCCATCCGCCATTGCCTGCTGCTTCTCCCCAACAGAAGCCTTCAATGGCTTCCATCAAAGCTAGCCGATCACGTGCTGTTGCTTCAACGCTTATTTCTACGGCGTAACAAAGGGCATGTGATTTGGTCCTTTGGCTCATCCATCCATCGAGCTTTAATTTATTACCCAAATGACCTATTTCTTGGTCATGTTTAGAGTCAAATTGTAGATGATACAAAGAAAAAACAATAATTATTATAGGAGTAATCTTCATGATAACGTACAACAACAATAATAATTTATGATGTTTGGTTGATTATTTAGGATCGAGCTGTCAAAATATTCGAATTCAGATTGAATATAAAGGATGAAAAAGATGAGAGAAGAACATATGTGGCATCAAAAAGGACTAAAAATATTAATTGTATCATTTACATTACTTACATTAAAAAAGGTATGAATTTTCTAATCTCTTACGTACCACTCTTTGTATGAATCGATTTCGATACGACGGCACACAAAATCAAAAAATCTGGCATCTAATTCTAAACCGGTCCGGGAATCCGATTCAACGTTTCAGCCACCACAAGCGATTCTTTTTCTCGTAAAGAAACACACAATCTTGCTTTTTATAAGCATTTTATATTCACCAAAAAGAGCAAATAAAAGAAAGATTACCGCAATTAACGGATAATAATAAATAGACAGTTTCTTTGATTTTTTACATCGAATTTTGATCTCAGTTATGAAACCATTAGTCCTTCCTTATGTGCTGTACGAAAACCGCCACCCTCCCCGTGACTGAAGTGACGACTGTCGGTAGAACACCACTGTGGCACGACGGCCGCCTTTTGGTGCCTCCGGCAGTGATTTGAATAATGTTTCAAATAATAATAATAATATAATTATTTATAAAAATAATAATGAATCAGAAAGAAAAAATATTAGAAGACTGAAAAATCGTCGGCGGTGGGGGAAACGGTTACGCCTTCCGCCCCGTTCCCGCTGGCCGTCTTCGCCTCCGCCGCCTCCTTGGCAGCGGAAACCTCGTCCACGGTCCTCTCCACGTCGAGCCCCTCGGAGCCGGCGTCGCCCGACTCCCAGTGATCCGGCAGCGGCGTCGGGATGAAGGGCGGCCGCGACACCTGGATCACCTGCTCCCAGACCACCCCACGGAAGAACTCGTGCGCCTTGATGCCCTCGCCTGTGATGCGACGTTCGGGGTCCTTCTCGAGGAGTCTCCGGATGAGGTCGCGCAGCGGCGTGGGATCTCCGGCGAGCTCCGGTTCCTTGGTCAGGATCCGGTAGAAGGTCTCCTTCCGGTTCTGCCCCCGGAACGGCGTCTGCCCGTAGAGCATCTCGTAGAGAACCACCCCCAGCCCCCACCAGTCCACCGCGAAGTCGTGGCCTCTGCCCTCGATGATCTCCGGGGCAACGTACTCCTCCGTCCCCACGAACGAGTTCGATTTCCCGCTCGACGACCACTTCGACGCCGAAGGTGGTTTCGGGGCGGGAGGAGCTTCGACGGTCTCCGGAGACACGCCGGCGTTGAAGGAGAAGCAGCCCGTGAGGCGCGGGGACTTCTTTCCCTTGATCTTGGTGTTCTTCTTCTTCTTCTTCATGCCGGTGCCTCGCGGCATGGATTCGATGCGGCGGACGGCGGTGGGTGGTGACGACTTGAGTGGTTGTTCCGGCAGCGGCTTGGAGGAGAGTTTAGCGGAGAGATCGAAGTCGACGAGCATGAGGTGGCCGCTGTCCTGGATCAGGACATTCTCGGGCTTCAGGTCTCGGTAGACGATCCCCAGCCCGTGGAGGTACTCCAGCGCCAGCACCAACTCGGCGGCGTAGAAGCTGCAGAGGCGATCACACCAAATACGGATCAGACCGACACGAATGGGAACCATGGTGTTTGAGGAAGAGGGCGGCGGAGAGATACGCACCGAATGACATCGTCGGAGAACATCTTCTCGCTCTGGCGGCGGCGGAGGGAGGCGAGGTCGCCGCCGGAGCATCGGTCGATTGCGAAGCCGACGATCCTGTCAGTGGAGACGACGCCACGGAGGGAGGGGAGCAACGGGTGGCGGAGGGCGAGGAGGACGTCGCGCTCGAGCCAGACCCGGCGGTAGGCGTCGCCGCTAGAGGCCTTGCGCTCGATCGAGGAGCGAGAGACGGTCTTGAGGGCGAGGGCCTCCTCGCCGGACGAGGCGGCGGCGCGGACGAGGAAGACGACGCCCTTGGCGCCGCGGCCGAGGACCGAGAGGGCCTTTAGATCACGGAGGTCTAACGACACTGGCTGCGGCGGCGGCGGCTGAAATAGCGGTTGCGCCATCGTCGACGTCGGAGGAGGAGGTTTGAGAGGTAGGGCGACGAACGCGAAGGGGTGAAGGAAGGGGAACGTGGTATATGAAGAGGCGCCGTTTCTTGGCGAGGAAGGAAGGATTCGCCTACTCGTTGGGAACCAACGAAGACGACGAGAAAATTCCCATACGCCCCCTTTTCTCCCGTCACACTCTCCGCTTCATATTGCCAACAAAAATAACGGAAAACAAAAACCAAAACTGAAATCAAAACTGAAACCAAAACCGAAACAATTCCTCACTCGGACTCGTTCTTTTGCTCCGACTGATTCACCCCTCGATACGTCACGGGTGACGTCACCTCTCGGCTCCAAATTGCACTGCCTGTTATATATATATATATATATATATATATATATATATATATATATATATATATATATATATATATATATATATGAGATGATTTAGTGTGCATGTGGTCAAACTTTGGAAAGTATTCACAAACGAGAAAGTTGACTATCTGCACGAATCATTCAAAACATGATTCCAGAAGGTCACGAGAAGAAATAACGCGTGGGCGACTCGGGCGGCGTCAAAATGTGAGGCGACATTAATATGAGAGAGAGATCGAGACGTATTTTGTTGACATTAGATTTGAACAATATAGATAATGAATCTATTCATCATATTATTATTAATGACCAAGAAAAAGAAACGAGATTTACTATGCCATTAACTTTAATGAATCTAAGAGAACAGTCAAAAAGCAAAAAGGAGAGGGTGGAAATTGAGCTCTCACCTGTTCAAGTGCATGGAGTCCACCTCATGCTTATACGGATGTTTTCACAAGCAGACGAGCTTGCAGGTGTCATGTCACGTGTCTTTCGTGAAGGCAAAGAAAGATATATTCGAATTATGTTTTTGCCTTGCCGAGTTATATATTTTCAGCTTCATTTTCTTTGATTTTTAGTTTTTAACATATAAGTAATTTAGTCACCTTTTATAAATCATAAACGAATGATCCTCATATGTTGGATATAGTCAGTCCTAATCAAATATTTACTAAGTTTAATTCATTAAAAATATTTCTCAAATTATGTAATCAACTAATAAAAAAGATTTTCTTCTTTTAATTATCAACACCTCAATCCCTAAAGTTTTCTCCTATAATTATATATTATTCATCTATAATTAATTATTTTTAACATCCCTAAAATAAAATATTTAATCTCGTTTCTTCTCATGTCGATTCTACTGATAAAAATATTATATAATTAACTTTATTTAATTTTGATTTATTACTGAACACGTACAGTATTTTCATCAACGATATTTCATTTTCGTAAGTATAAGGATCTCAATATAATTTTTAATAATATAAAAATCAAAATATTAAAAATAACTAATTACATAAGATAATCGATAATTAACCCTACACAGGATGTAAATATAGATGCAGACCACAGCTAAGACTTCTAAATCACCACCACTTTTATGTAGGGTTCTTATAGAATACACTAATATGTAGATAGGCATACTGGAGGCAGGCAATAGTGGCCACTCCAAAAGGCACCAGAGTGGGTTGATAGAAGATGAAAGTTGTACCAAATTCATTTACTTAGTCCATCCATAGACATTTAAACTCAAGCCCATCTGGTCCCTGTGGCACTGAACAATCTGCTTAAATGAGAAGCCTCCGAATTGGACTGTGTTGTTGACAAGGGGGCAAAACGCTGCAAGTGCAACAATGTCTTGAGGCACCCTTTGCAGAAGCATGCTTTCAGAAAAGCTAGTGTTTGTGGCATCGGAAAGCTTGAGCCCACTTGCATGTCATTTCCAGGTCGGCTTTCCACAAGCTGTAATGGCTACCTAACCCTACATTGCACATAAATGAATCAGATTGGCCATGTCTTTAAAGTTAAGGAGTCTGCTCATGCTCCATGAAAGAGGAGGCAGGAAAAGTCATAGCAGTATTTCGAGTCAGTGCATCACCTATTAGCTTGACAATGACAAAGCATCTACAGAAGAAATTGAACATGGCCATATGATCATCCAGAGATTTGCTATTCCGAAGCTGCGGAGATGTTTGATCTTAAAGGACAAGCTTTGGTGTCATGGTAAAGTTGCTTGTTTACGACTCGATGACCAGGGTTCGAGTATTAGATACAAGACCTGCCTACTTGCAAGAATAAGATGACGTTCATCGACCCTTCGTAAGCAATGTATCAAAGAAAGCTTCCTATACTTCGTATAACTCATGTAGAAACTACAGCACATGTAGAACCCAATTTGGTGAACTATTCTGAAGGAGAATTTTCATGCGTGAAATGTCGACAGAGTGTTATATTGTTTTACTAAAAGAGAAAGATGACAAGAGAAAAATTCGTCAACCACTTACTTGATAAGTATCGACAATATAAGAATGGCACATGGAAGACGAACCACCTATCTGATTGGTTCTTTCTGAAAGCTAATCATACAAAGTTAGGTCTAATGACAACAACCAAAGGAAAGCGGCGATAGCCACGAACACCAAAAGAAAAATAAGACTCGTGTTCCACGTGCTTTCCTTGATATCCACTACAATATTAATCGTTTTCAGATCATGACTTTAACTGAATTCTTTTAGTTAGTACTCGAGATGATCTACATTATAGAGAATTGGCTTCAGACATGCTGCATTATTTCATAACATACAGATAATCTGAAGCCGCATATTATAGAGAAGGAATTTATTGCAAGATGAATGTTCATCTTTACCAACTAAGGCTACTCTTTTTCTCTGTTCGTCGATAACGAAAAGCTTAACACTGCAAGTTTACCTCAGTGACAAAAGAAATGAATCAACACCTAATTCAGATTCCATACCATTGAACATCTGGAGAAAACTTCTGATTCCAACCAGTAGAAGAACTGACACAGACACAATCTATGCTTCACCTGTTTATGTTGATGTTGCTGATAATGAAACACCATGGAGATTAAAATCAAAGGTTCTATCATAAGAATAATTGGACAACCAACTTCAGATAATATGATGCATATTTAATTGTTCAATTAACAGTGTAGATCACTCAAACAAACAAGAACCAATTTACCTACGGCTCCGAGCAAGTGAGAAAAAAAAGGTGCTAGCTTTATACCTCAGATCTTGATGATCTTGGCAGCTTTGATCACAGGGTTGGCCCTGGCGATCTCCTCCCTCCCTAAGGCCTTGTAATCGAAGGAACACTCGTGGGCATCGGAGTAACGGTGGCGACCGCAGAAGAGGTCGCCGCAGCGGCATCGGAATCCGGTGAGACCCACCTTTTTCCGGCAAGTGGAGCACCTGTTACTGAATCTAACAGGAGTCGGGGATTCCTCCCCGGGCTTTGACGACTCCTCGTCGAGCTTTGTCGTGGAAGAAGCCGCGACAGTCATCGCTGGGGCCGGAGATTCCGGCCTGTGAATGGTGGATTCATCGCATGATTTCGGAAGCGCGGAGGAAGGTGGCGGCTGGGGTGATGATGATGGCGAGGAGGGTGGCGTAGCAGAACGGGAAGAAGATGACGAGGGCTTGAAGATCTCTGCTTCATCCTGGTCAAGATTGCAACTTTCTCGAGCCATTCCAAAAAGGAATCCGATCCGACAACAAGAATCAACGAGCAGACAGGCAACAATTAATCTAAGCCGAACGACGATTGCAGGACTACGAATCAACACCAGAAAATTTCCCAAATCACCCAAAGCTGGAATTTTGGAGAACTCAAGGGAAAGCCTAATAGAAATAGGTTACGAGATGGATTAAGAAGCAAGAAAAGAGGGAATTCAGTCTTCGGTTGAATAAAGAGAAAACAAGAACGATGAACGGCAGGAGGAACTTGAAATCAAGCTCAAATTTTTTTCACGCGCTTCCACGGAAGCGACGGTGGAGATCCATAAAAATCGAAGAAACCGATCAAGATCGATCGGGGAGAGGAACGGCGAGGGATTTGGTAGGAACCGGGGGGGGGGGGGCGAGGAAGAATGGTAAAGGTGGCAGCTTTGGGGGTGAGGAAAAAAAGAGAGAATAATAAATAATTACGCCAATTATAACCAAGTCATTAGAATAAACAAATCAGCCATCTAAATGATCAATGGCAAACAATTTGAGATCGTAGAGGACACTCGGCCGTTGGATCAGCATCAAAGGGCTGTGTGCCTTTTTATGTTGTCACACCAGCAGGTCCCCCTAAGCTGTTGTTTATTTCTTTTCCTTTCTACTTCGTATGCGTCTGTCTGGCTCTTCGAGATGCAGAAGGCCATGAGCTTAACAGACCATTGTGATCTCTCTTGAAGCCGTGCTGAGTCATGAAGACGACGGCGATACATACACAGCATGGGCAACATTCCTTTGAGAATCTCATCTCCTTTACGCAAAAGATATTAAGTAGTTTCAGAGAAAGATAGATTAATCACAATGGTTTCTAGATATGTTTCAGGATGATTCTACTGTAAAGAAATCCTTTCCCCCATCATGACAGTCTCTGCCCCGCCCACCTTTCCAATACAAGAAATTTGGCAGGAATCTAGCTTTTCGTCGGAAAACGCGGACTTACGTACTCTCTCTATCGTGGCCGAGATGAGAAGGTTTACTGGGGGTTGGCGACGCGATGGGTGCTACGATTGAGGTAGCCTGAGTGGTGCTGAATCTTCGTAGGATTTCGATGATGGGGGATTGGTCTGGAGGTTGTCGGAGAAGCGCTGCAAGTAAGATCGAGTCCTGGAGGTGAGGTTGGTCTGTTGTTGCACTTGTGCCGTCAGTCAGGTTCATGCACCCGTTGGTTAAACCGTCATGCTTGTAGACGACGATGTTGCCCACCTTGACACAGTACAGCTCGCGATTGTCACTATATCTCTAGCAGTAAGTTGTGAGACCACTATCATGTGTATAGACTCCATCTCTTCTACCTTCTTCTAGTGACTATCCTTAATTCATCTCCACACATGAAAGTTTTCTTAACAAGTATTCATAATTGCTAGCAATTACATTACAGTCGCAAGCAGACCTAAATGCCTGAATAGTGGTTTTGTTGTAGCTATTTGGATGCTTTGGTGACTGGATTCGGGATGGGATGGTAGTTCATATCAACCAACCTATGACTGAAATAGAAAGATGAAGCAACGTCTAATGAAAATAACTTCTACAGACAAAGACATCATATGGAGAAGATTAGGCCGGTCGATCAAATTCAATGATATGCAAATGTTAACGCCAATTTGAGAGGGCAGCAACTCAAATTAGTGAACAGCATGTAGATCAAATGCAACAACGATCAAGCATCCATCCGAGGGATTCAACACAACCTGGCGATTCATCAACATAAAATTCAGATTGATGTTTCTTCCTTTCAGTTGAAGATGACGTTTTCTCATGCTTGAATGAAAGAAAAAGACGGTGATCACGATTAAATTTAATCAGACTACAAAGGTCCGATAAAGCTGCTTTCAACATGTCAAGTTTATGTATGAACTACTATTACCAGGTTCAATTTACCGCACCCAACAGGAATTTGAAAGAATCAAAGGCTGCTCTCTCAGGCTGCTGGGGCGTCGGTCATTTCCTGCTCCACAGGGGTTGGGGCCACAGGATAATACTTGTAATGAAGCTCACCCACATCATCTCCAGAAAGTTTCTTCCAACCATCAGGGCCAACATGATAAACTGTAAGAAAAGCACCACATGAGGCTAGAGATCTCTAGACAAGCAGTACCATGATTTTAATGGAAATGACCTTAGAATATGAACTGGAAGAATATGATGAAAAAGAAAAAGAAAAAGTTGATCCACTTATCAATATCATTCAGTGGAAGCAGTGGAACACTTGCAAACATAGTAAAATAGAAAAGGTCAAGTGTCTAAAAAAAAGTAGACATACCACTAGCCACTCCACCACTAGCTCCATCACGAAAAGTTGCATGGTAAATGGCTCGGCGTGCCAGTTCTGCAGCTTCCTCGACTGGCATGTCAAAACGATACCTAACAGATAGACAAATACAAGTTAATCCAGCTTAAGCAACCACAAAAGATCAAAACAAAAAGAAACAACGACAACGACGACGACAACTACTGGATAACAAATGCCTACCCACTATCAAGAACACCATAAGCATATGGACTTCCTGACCCAACTGAAAAGCGTGTTCCCTTGAGCCTTCCACCTTCACTGTCAACATAGTACAATCCAGGCCCCTAAATCAAAGAGGACTGGTCATTCAGCTGAATTGAAGATAGGGAAAAGATAAACTAACAGAAACTTAGTTATACCTTTTCATCCCATCCAGCGATCATGGTTCCTACTGAAAGGCCCATTCCACGATAAGAGTAAAGTATGTTTGCCAACAGCTTTGAAGCACCTGTGACTGAGATCCTTCTCTTGTTTGCCAGTTCATGCAGGCGGCACTGTACAGGATAAAAATGAAGGCTATCAAAATATTTCACAGAAATAACCAAAATTCACTAGTAATGGACAAATAACAAGATAATTAAGGTAAAAGACCCACTTGTATAAGCATACTATCAAGTGTACACTATACACAAACATGTACGAGCAAGAAACAGCTATACCTTGATCCCTAAGTTCCTGTGCCAGAATTGGCAATCTGCAGCACCTCCAGCCATTGTACCAAGCATATATGGATTGATCTCAATAATTTTCTTAACACTCTGAGAAGCTGCAGATGAAAGAGATTATAGGTGCAGTAAGAAAACCAAACCATTGGACAAGCAGCTTGATACTCAATTTAACTGATCATTCACTTCGAGAATGTTGATAATAAGTCAAAAAAAGACCCAAAAGCTTATCATGATGTCTAGGAATGATCTATTTAATTAATTGAAAATAAGAGTAAACATGCCCTATAAACATTAAATTGAGCAAGAGGCACATTTAGTTCCTAGAAAAAAGAACAGGGACAAGCTTATCATGATGTCTAGGAATGATCTATTTAATTAATCTTTGTCACCAGAGGATACGGAAGCACGTTCCAATGCAAAAATTTTTAGCTGTTAGTAATTTTTTGGTTTACTTTGCCTTTATGATAAAGATTGCAGATCATCCCAATCATGTAATAAACAAATTCACCAACCCACAACAGTGTGACATTCTGAACCCATAGAAACTCATTGCAAACATGCAAGAGAAGCATGAAATCATCATATGTGAGAAGAAAGAAGAAGAGCTACCCCTGTGACAAAAGCACATCAGTTTTGAACTCATAAATAGTAGCTAATAAGAGAAGGTTTAGCTTCAGGGGTCGAATGGTCGATTATAAATTTGTTTTTCAAAAGGACCTCTGATAGGGTCAGCCCATGCTTTGGGCTTTGAGACTAGACTCCTGAAAGTTAATATGGGCAAACTCACCAATGGTCCAATCAAGATCCACATCCCAGCAAGTTCAGTGTCACCATACTTATATTGGCCTGGTCCAAAGACCAAACTATAATCTTAAGCAGTGGCCATGAAAGTTTAAGCTTAAATTTAATGAAATTTAGCAAACACTTCTAGTTAAGCCTCAAGCTGAGAAGCATGTAGATAATTGTTTTGGATAACTTCTCTCAAGAAAATGACTGATAACAGTGCATCAACATAGGTATACTAACTTTCATATAACTTCATACACAATTAAATAAAGTTTTCTTTCGAATTTCTTAAGTACACCAAATTCAATTATAAAATTCTTCAAATTTTAAAAACTTGGGGCTTATATATTTTATATAAGATGATCATGGAAACAAAAACAACCACTTCAAAAAGAAAAAAGCTACTGAATGTCCAGGTATAACCGCCAATATATAAGGCTATTTATTGCAAAAGTGCCAAGCTTATCAATGGCAAAATACACACTTTGTGTTTAGTAGCACGGCTAAATGCAAATAACTACACACTTCTTCAAATAATTAACTTAAAAGGACTGCTTAAGAGGATTACAAACAATGAAGAAGTCTTTTCCTCATAAAATCCATTGACAGATAAATGTTCAATCAATCTTTCAATATAACACAGTATTCAAAATCAAATTCTGCTGATTTCAGCACAATCGCCAAGCACAGATTTTTTTTCCTTGGTAATTCTTTATCAGTGTCACAGAGGCGCACAGGAAGCAAACAAGCGCAGAATTTTAACAAAGTATCATTTTTTTAGGCTTCTCTATATAGACAAAGTACAATTTGCAGATTTCTTGCATTGCAATTTTTGTCGTCGGCCAAAAATAAGGTAGGCAACTCAAATGATTAACCGTTCCCATCTTAAGATAGCATAACCCTATACATTGCTAGAAGAACCGTAAGGAAAAATGCAAATCGTAATAGCAACCAACAAACTAAATGCTTACAGATATATCCTCCCATGCTAGCACGCGAATCGGCGGCGACAATGACGCCTTCCTTGAAGATGAAGGCGAGCGTCGTCGTCCCTTTCGCTGGCTTCACCATCTGGATCGCGTCCTTCTGAAACCCATCGAACTGAAGCCACGAGAAAAGAAACAATAAATCAATACCAATCACAAACAACCTAGAACAAAGCTCACGAAACAATAAAAAGCATACGTCGGAGCAGGCCGGAAGTTGGAACGAAGGGGCCGCGAAGAGGTCTTCCCCGAGACCGTCGACGGCGCCGCCGGGGATCGAAGTAAACGACTGAAGACCACTCAGATCAAGCTTCATGATCCACGAGATGCGAAGACGAGGAGGGGAGATGAGTCGAGAACAAGCGAGAAGAAACCCTAGATCGAGTGACGAGTTAATAGGCGACGGGGGAAGGATGCTTGGAAGAGGGGAAAGGTAGAAGAGGACCTCCATTTATAAAGATCCGACCCGAACCGCTCGCTTCGTAAGGCGGCATGGTCAATGTGCCGAAACGGGTTTACGCCCGTACAGGACTACGTTGGGCCCATGCCAAGCAAGTTTGCGTCCGATATCTCATCGAAGTGGACTCGGGTGTGGATCTAAATGGGTATATAATCCTAACAAGCATAATATAATGTAACATAGAAATATGGGCAATTTTGAGAAGAGATTGTTATTGGCAATCCTTTATCTCCTATAATCATCTTAAAAAATAAGAAAATATAATTTTTCGATTGCATTTTTATTTATCGTAAATTATTTTTCATCTACTCCTCTTGATATTTAAATTGTATCATTTGATTATCTATCATTTTTTTCATCATTTTATGTAAATAACAATAAAAGATACTTTGACGAATATATCAGGGTAAGGGTGGGAAAGATGAATCCTCATTAATGCTGAGGAATCCATATATATTCAAACTAATAACAATACCAAAATTTATAAATGATAATAATAATATTTGAAAATTTACATGCCATAATAATATTCAAACGTAAATACATCCAATATAAATATAACTAAATATTTCCAAATATAATCATGATCAAATAAATATATAAAAAATAAATCTATGTTGGAAATTTTATTTATAAAAGTATAAATATATTAAAAAAGTAAATGCAAAATCAGTTTAGTGGTTAATGTTGGAGTCATAGGTATTATATTTAATTCTCTATCTCTCTCTACAATAATAATATTGTTATTATTATATATATATATAATAAATAATAATATAAATAAAATGAAAATGAGATAAGACTTGTTCTACTTGTATCGATGCTCGAAACTATATTGATACTAAAAAATATCCCTTCATTTTTATCCGATCATCGTTTATTATTTAATCTCTACTCATCGAGGGTGATTCTTTATGAGTATTCAAGATAGCTTATTCACTCAAATATCCTTATACATAAGGCTTGCACTATTCTCTAATGAAATATCATAGTTTTATTCAAAAATATTATAACTTAGATAAATCGACTAAATACTATAATTAAGACAAATTGAATAAAAATCAAATGAAAACTAACTTATATACAAAAATAGTTTTAAGTAATTATGTCTAAGAATAAGAATAACTAGGAAAAGAAAATTAGAGTGTTTTTAGCCTATCTACTTATTAAAAAACAATGTTACTGAGGTAAATGAATTCAAAACTCAATGATAATTAGTTTATATATAAAAAGTTTTAAATAATTATCACAATAACAACCAAATGGAAAGACTTATAAGTCTTTATGTTCTTATATTCAATGTTCACTCTAATTTAGAAATTGAAGGGAGGATTAACCTATTCAAAAATACTATAACTATTGATAGATTCACTCTATTGACCAATCATAAAAAGAAAAAACTGATGTCATGTGAAATATATTCTTATGATTAAGAAAAAGTAAGGGTAACCATTGGAAAAATGATATCTTCTAAAAACAAAAAGAGATTTTTCTCTAGAAATATTAGCATATCCGGTTAAATCTGAAATGTTCACAAAGGGTCATCTTTTTTCTGCACGAATCATAACGGCATACGGTGCCATTTACTCTTCATCCAACGGACAATAAGATGCCACGTAAAGACGCAACTCTGGCTGACACGCCGATCGACGAGGCTACTCAGAAGTGGCCACGTGTGTGAGCTTACACACACTCGCCTATGCTGTTAGTAATATATTAAGAACGAATTCTAACAAAATAATTCATATTTTTCGAAAATTCCCGCATAGCGCTGAAAATTCCGAAATAGACCCTCTGATCGTATAAAAAGTCAATTTTGCCCCTCCGTTGGCCAAGCCGCGAGGGCCGCCGCCCCTTGACCTCGTCGGCCCAGCCGCTGCACTCCTCGCCCGCGATCCTCACACGAGGCGGCGACGGCAAAGGCATGCACCCCCCCTCCTCCTTCCTCCCCTGCGGTCGACGGCGAGGGCACGCGGGCCGCCTCCCCTCCCTTGCCCGCGGTCGACGGTGAAGGCGCTCCCCTTCTCGGCCGACGGTGAGGGCACGCAGCCGCCCCGTCTCCTTCCTCGCCCGCGGTTGACGACGCGCCCCTTTCCTTCCTCTCCTACGGTCGATGACGAGGGCTGTAGGCGAGGGGAGGGGGCGGGTCTATGAGCGACGGCGAGAGCCACGGGTGAGGGGATGGGGCGAGTCTAGGAATGGCGGCATAGTGATAAAATGGTCATTTAAAAAAAAAAGATGCTGTTTCGAAAAATTTCATAGCTAGGGTGGTTTACGGGAAATTGAAAAAAGCAGGAAATTTTCCGAGAATTCGCCGTATATAAATAAGAGACTAGTGTCGCCCTCGATGGTTTTGGTCTTCGCCCTTAATAGAGAGAGTGGGCGATATATCCCGCACAAAGCCAGCGGCCATTCGATCCGGCGAACCGCATCGAGGAGGCGAAGGTGAGCAATCTCTTCGCTATATTGCTGTAATCGAGAGGAAAGCTTCTTTTTCTTGTGTGTTCTCATGCCCTTTTGATGGGCTCGAGCGAGTTCTTCATGTTCTTAATGGTAATTGTTCGCCGCTCGAGTTGCGAACGAATCGTTGTGAGAAGCCAAGCGAAGAAGAAATCATGGTTGAAAATGTGCCGAGAAAGGGGCAGAAAACGCAGACTGAGACCGGGAAAATATCTTGGACGAGGAGGATAAGTGTGCTCACCGCTTGGTGAACCCACCTCCGATGCAATGCCAGGGATACATTTTTTGAATCCTTGATTCCATTTTTGATCGCTTTTGAGATTGTTATATCTAGAGATTTAGGATTTTAGGGTTATTTCTAATACTTGTGGATGTTCTGTAGCTGTTCGATCTCTGTCCGAGAAATGAAGTTGGTACCCAGGGAGGTGGAGAAGATAGCCCTCCACAATGCTGGGTTCCTGGCGCAGAAGCGCCTGGCTCGTGGCCTGCGTCTCAACTACACCGAAGCTGTAGCGTTGATTGCGACACAGGTGCGTTTTAACCCCATCTTGATGGCCTCATGCTTACTCAGCAACTAATCTTTGCTTGCGTCTTTCAGTTTTTGGTTTTTCATTGTAGATAATTATTTGCGATGCGTGCCTTTGATTGTGATGTTCATCGATAAATTTTGTTAGTGTTTGTCCGTTTGAAAAATTGAACACACTTAAATTTTGTGTTGTAATGCACTGTCGATTTTTGCGACCTTCAGTAACAGAAATCAATGGTGGTCTCTTGGCCTTTCCAATGTCAGTGTTTTTAATGATACATTTTTGAGGAACTCCTGGCGGTCAGCTGGTGGCAAGTTGCTCTAATCATGATTCGAGTACAGGCCCTTGTACGTAGCATAGCGTGATGTAATAATGCAACATGCAGAGCTTAATATGGTCATTATGATAAGTGACTTTTGACATTGGTATATGCATCAACACATAAGAATATGTTCTTTTAGCTTTCTGATATGATGTTTGAATCGTGATGATTATTTTGGTCTGGGATATCTTCTATGATCATTTTGCTTTTTATTGAGCACTTTCTGGCAATGACTTTGAATTAATGATAGTTGATGCTACTTAAACTTCTGGAGCGTTTTTGTTAGATAACCTGCCTTATCAAGAATGACTCAAAATAGTTCACTATCGTGTAGTGATGCATGAGTTTTCAAATGATACATCAAAGTCTCATAATTCAAACGATATAACTCCTGTTCTATGAACTTATCACATAGATTCTAGAATTTGTTCGTGATGGAGACAAAAAAGTTTCAGATTTAATGGACCTTGGAAAGCAGCTTTTAGGGAGGTAAGTGACTATCTGAGTTATGCTATATTTATGTAGAATCGTAGATGATGTAATCAATACAAATAGCTGCAGACAATAGTTTTTTGTTTTGCGGTTTTTGTTAGTCAAAACAGCTCTACATGATCTCATATACTTTATTCACAAGGATTAGTTTTGCTAAGGTGTGAGGGTATGGATCATAAAACTGATGAAGAAATGTAATCTTGCCTTTTATGTCTTACTTTTTGTGAACTCCATGGAGAAGTGAGAAATTTGTTAGTTTGGCACCATGTTTTGCCATATTTATTCTTCTTATGCCTCTTCTTGTACTTTAAAACATTTTTAACTAGAAATATGGTGCTGCAGACCGCATGCTATCTCAAGATGACAAGACCTTGGCTGAAATGAGAAAGCCAAAAACGAAATCAAGTTTGGTTTTGCTTTAAAATCAAAACCACATGCTATCTCAGGTCATCTCCATTTGGGGAGCAGAAGCGCCAAATATTTTTAATTGTAATTTTGGCCCTACTTAATGGGCAAGTAATGGAATAGTTTGGTTTTGCTTAAAAAAAAAAATTCAAGGTTTACAATATTGCTTGTACTAGTCAGTACAAGCAAGTGGTTACTGGTCTGATAGTGAACTGGGATGCAGGTTAGGCAGTTTTGTTAGGTTTGGTCCAGTATAGGCTACACCACTAGTAAGTTTCCCGTACTTGGGTTACCAGGCACTAGATACCCAATACTGAACAACACTGTCATTAAGCCTATGTCTGATACCCCAATACTGAACAACATTGTCATTAAGCCTACCATCTGCATCTGGTACATTTATTCCTTTTTTTATTGATGATAATTGTCATGATTGTTTTCTCTCTTTCTTTCCTCCTCCTAGTGCTGTGGTCACTTTTTGCTCCCTACTCTATCATCATCGCCCTTCCTCTTTGCTGAGTTGTTGGTGTCTGCACCTCTGTTACGTCACTGTCATCATCATGTAGCCATTGCTATGTCCTCCTTCCATTACACGTCACCTCCTTTTCCTCACCCTTCCGCTGCCTACTCCTGCTCCTCTACCACCTCCACATCCTCTTGCCTCCTCCTCCTCCATCTCCTTCCCTACCTCCCCTTCTTTGCCTTTTCTTCGACCTTCTCTTCCTCATCCTCCGGTTGGACCTGGGCCAGTCATTGAGCATAATGCCTACCATAAGTGCTGAAGATTTAGATGGAAGTAGATAGGTTTAGGTTCACAAGAATAAGCTCATTACTATGGCATGGCATAAGCAAAGTTGGGAGGATGGATATGGTCATCGAGTAAACAACAGGCCAAGCTATTTGAAAATCATAGATTCTTGCTCACTATTTTTCTTTATTAATGTAAATACCATAAGATAATCTGGGAATTGGCAGCTCTCACCAAAAAGGCCCATGTGAGATTAGTGGTCACTAGTGACTAAGTACCAGATTATGTTTCTGTATGTTTTTAATTATAGTCATCAATTGCTTGAAAAGTGCTGTTGTGTTAGATGAGAAGATGCAATGTTATTGTTTCTTTTTCTCTCAATCATAGTTGATTTGCTTCAGGGCTAGTCTTGGTATCATGGTTAGGTTGTTCCTTTACAATTTGGGTACCATGCAATGAGTTATGAAAATAACCTCTCCATTGTTGGGATAAAACTGTAGATTAGCACATCTCATACATTAGATTGCTTTTATAGTTTTGTTGGTTACAAGAGAATGATCTTGAGCTTGTTGACCATTATGGTTCTAAATCTTGGGTACCGGATCCATAGCAATCCATTCGTTGTTGATAGTCGTTACCGTCATAGTTTTGAATCTTGGGTACCGGATCCATACTAGTCTATGGCCGAATTGGTCCGGGCCAGTTCATACTAGCATACTGACACATGAGATATTGGTACATGATATCAAGAAAGGGGGCAGGAGGACGAGGAGGAGATCAAAGGAGAATCCCGGTTCATGCCCGGACAAATAAATACTGATTGGTATATACTGGTCCAGATGAAATAATATCAGTAAAACTATTCTAGTGCATTAGCTTGTGTTTCAAATTAGCTTTGGGTTTCGGCCCCCGCCCCATCTAAATGGGGAATGAGGTGGGGATGGAAGATGCAGGATGAGGAGGGGATGGGGGAAGCAATCCCCACCCCCGCCCCCGCCTCTGCCCCATTGACATCTCTAATACTAGACATACATATGAAACATACTGAGTTGGTTACATCAACTTTTTGGGTATTTTTTTTTAATACACTGACCTATAAACCATAGATGATTTGTAACTATCTTAAAAGATCGTCTTTAAATATGAGGTAGTCTGATAATTATCACCTTAAATTTTAAATTAATATCTTCATTATCCTCCAGCCAGTTCCAGGGTTGCTGAATAGATACTTTTTTATCTGTTTCATTTTCTCCATCTGCTTTGGTTCTTTTTGTTTAATTTCTATTCTGTAATCGTGGAGGCATTTGACTCTACAAGTTGCACCTGCCACCAGCTGGCATGTGTATGGTATATGAAAAGGAAAGCATTAATTCTTATGTCATCCAATGTTTCTCACCGCATCTTGAAATATGCTCTTTGTTATCTTGTTGGGACTTCACTTTTGACATAGTGATACAGCTGTTTCTTGCTGCCACCACCTGATTATGTTTGTCTTTGTGTGGTTATCAGGCGACAGGTTCTTCCAGCCGTTAGACATCTTTTAGATACTGTTCAGGTTATTCCTTCATATTTGTATAGTTTAAAATTTGCAGCCATGTAATTGCTATAATTGAATGTTCGTATTACTATTATTAACTTACAGAGAAAACCATCAGCAAATTGTGATTGGAAAAAAAAGAAAATATATGATGAGGTGGTCAGACCTGCAAGATTCTTGGTTAACATAGTGTACAATTTACATCTCACCTGCAGTAGTCTTGCACATGGATTTAACTTTCTATTTACTCTTAATGCTTAATTTTCTTTCCCCTCTCCTCTTCAAATTAATGGTCAGTCATATTTTGTTTTTCATCATCAGCAGAATTATCTTATTTCTAGGTATAAGTTTATTTTTCATTGTTGTAGCTCCTTATTCAGATGATTTAATATTTACGAGAGCTGAAATAGTGGTAATTCACAATTAAAAATTTGTTGGGTCTTGTTCGGGAAAAAAAAACTACTCCCTGTATAAGAAATACCTATTTATATGTTAGAGAAGTAGTCAAAAGAACTGTATTGTGCATGTTTGCTTCACTGATGAAGGTCAAATAAGTGAAAGGTGTTGGTTTCCATTGCGTGGAATGCATTTCCTATTTTCTCAAAATTAGTTTTATTAATTCATCCTAGATATTCTTCTGGTCTGCAAAAGAACAAGGGCTAGTAGCAGAACAAGTTTTTTCATATATGTTGAGTTTTAAAATCTTTTCCACAGGTTTTTTTTGGTATTGGTGGTTTCTTGGTGATCATTAAAGCATTTTAAGCATTTGCAATGATCATCAATTGATATTTATCATTCTCCTCTTGATACCCTTCAGTCCTGACAAAGTTTGAGCCTCTGCTTTCTGCTTTAATTAGACAAAATATTATGTCTATGTTATCTTCCAGCAAACTATTTTGTTTTTGGATGTTTTTAAGATTGTTTTTGTGATGATGGGCGTTTTTGTTGATTTTTTTTTCTATTACAATTTCCTGCAGTACTTGACATTTCTTCTTCTTTAAGGTTGAGGCAACATTTCCAGATGGGACAAAGTTAGTCACCATACATGATCCAATTGCAAGTGATAATGGAAATTTAGAGCTGGCATTACATGGTTCTTTCCTTCCAGGTAGAGCTCTCCAAGATTATCATATGCTCAAACCAAGGTTCGCAATACCGTACCGTACCGATATTTCGACCTGGGCTTGGTACCGGTACGGTACGGTATACCGAGCGGTACACCCAGGTGCTACAGTGCTACAGTATACTGCTATAGTGCTACAGTACTCTCGGACCGGTAACAGTCAGTCCGCATACCGACAACCTGTCGGACCGGTACGTACCGCCCGTATCGGGTGGTATGGCTCGGTACGGCAGACCCTGGCTCAAACAAATGAACAAGCTAGAGACCTGCACCACTTAAATGCTTGTATTTTGTTCCATATATTTAATAGCTAAAATTTGTTGGACACACCAGCATGTGTTGGCTGGACTGGACCAGTTGGCACATAATTTTTCCATAGGCCTTTCTGCTTTGGAACCTGTCTTAGATATAAAATTATAAATTATTTTTATTTACTTCGTCTGTCCTATACAAAAACTGGGTTCTTGCTGGAATGTCACCATGTTCAAAGTGTATACTGCACAGAAACAAAAAGTCCTCGCTTTTTAATATCTTATATTCATTCATCATGTCACCTTGTATTTAGCTACTCCGACTATATGAATGATGTTTTTAACTTAATCCTTGGCCTATTAAACTATTTTGGTAAGTTGAATTTTCTACTTTATGTTCTCTACAGTCTACACATTAACAAACAATATTAATCTTTGAATATCAAATCTCCTGCATTATTGGAGCAAACAGATCGTGTTTCACAGTGTTGATTTCTCATATAAGATTTGTCAATGTGTTGGTACCTTTAAGGCTTAAAGTTTATACTAGGTTAACTGTATCATTATGCATACGTCTATGTAACACAATAGTCTTAGGTTAACTTAAAATCTCCAGTACTTAATGTAGAATATTCAAAGTAAAAGATCCAAATCGTCATAGTTGATCCAGATTCTATTAAGGATCTCTAAGTGAAACATATGATACTAAGTTTTTTGCCCACCTGTCAACTCATCCAGAAATGAGTAGTCCAAAGTTTATTGTTTCACTTAATATTTACACCACTTGATGAATCAGTAAGTAGATCTTAAATCTCATGATTTTTTTTAATATGGGGCACTTCATTTTGGATTGTCGATTTTCTATTTGGTGGTTATTGACTTGAACTGGAAACTTGCATTGTCAGGTCAACCTGAGATGAACCACACAAATGCATGTACATATATGTATATACATACATATAATAACATATAATATACATATAAATAAATATATATATATACATATATTCATCTACAGAACCTTTTTCTTGTCTCTATATTCTTTTTGAAATGTTGTATATGTATGATATTGAGCATGGATGTACACAGGCCAGTGAAGGCACTGACTAGTTAGCAAAATTTGTAAGGATTTGAGGGTCTAACATCAACATACTTATGGAGAGCAGCAAGGGTCCCTTTTGTTGTTGTTGCCTGCCTGAGACAGGTTGTATACATGCACACATGTTTCATTGGTTATCCATCAACGGAATGAAATAGAAGAAGATGAAAATTTGATGCTTTGTACCAGAGTCTGAGCAATAACCATGTGACAACTAAGATCCATGTTGCACTTGATGCTTTGTACCAGAGTCTGAGCAGCATAGTTATTCTTTTCCCTAGGTTTTCCAAATATATCCTAACTGTGCCAAGAGTTTTGGCGGTAAACAAAAGGGTGCTAACTGTTGGCGTGACTTGTACTGCATTATGCAATATGCCCCTTGCAAACCAGCTCAAACCTTGACTCAAACGGTGCTGAGCCAGCTCCTGCTGGTTTAGTCACTCCTTTTAGGTCAATTAGTCCAATGCTGTATGTTGAATGAAGGGAAAAAAAAAACAAAACAAAACAAAAGAAAAGGTATCAAATGGGTACTGCATACTACTGGTGGGTATCCCTAATTCCCTGTGCATCGTTATGTTGGAACAGTATGTGCTTCTTGGTATATATCAGCATGAATGGAACTGTCATCCTTAATGCTTGTTTTTTACCTTGTACTGCTCCTGACTGCTTAAGTGCCTCAGATCAACCCATGCAGTTGACAGTTTTTTAAACTCAAATACTGAATGGAACTCTTACCATGGAGAAGGCCTGACAGCAGCAATAAATTTGCTTCGTTGCAGCCTCGGTGTTAGGAATTGAAATCATATAAATAGTCTGTTTCCATGCATGTCTTAGGTTGCTTTTATCTGACCGTACTTGACCTCTCAGATGCCAGTGCATCAAATGAAACTCCTGTTTGAGAACCTAATGGTCAAAAAGGGCATGCATTGAATTCATAATAATGATAAACATTAACCATGTATTGAGTTCATAACTAAGTCAAATTCTTCAAAGTAATTCAGGATATACGTACCCATATCTTTGTTAGTACTTGCTAAATGTGATATACATCCACTGTAGGAATCTGGGTAAGCTGATAGTTACACTGATATGACCTTACTGATCATATTCATGTTTCAGGATATTATGTTGGTCAATTTGTTCTTCTAAGCCTTTTGTTTTTTATGCATGGTAAATTGGAACACTTGAAAGAGGTACTTTGTTATTTGTTTTTTCTTTGCTGACATTTTTCTGGGCAAAGTAAAAGCAGATGTTTTAAAAACTTCCAGCTAACCTAATATGCAGAAGAAACTTTTCATTGTAAATACAGTAACTCTATTTGGATTCTTGCAGTTCCTTCAATCGACAAGTTTGTCGGGAATGAACATGACAGCTTCCCTGGTGAAATTATTTATGGCTCTGGGAATATTGTAATAAACACTGGAAGAAGAGCTGTCACCATAACAGTCGTTAACAAAGCAGATAGGCCCATTCAGGTAAGGTTGCTCGATTCTTGGCCTTGTGCAATTAGTCTGTTTCATGTTTCACCTTTCAAAGATTAGAGACTCCATGTCTTATGGATGGTTGACACACACCATCGCTACACTAGAGTTGACTCAAAGCAATGGCCGATATCTCATTTTCTACCATTCATATAAAACTATTTAACGATTTGTACAACCATGATAGACACAGGTGTTCTCTGCCGAACTACACTACTGTGTCAGTAGTGGAACGACAACCATGCAACTACTGGGAGCCTAAATCTTTCTTTTATTCTCTTGAATTGGTTTACTTCATCTTGTGACTGTACTACTACTGAAGTAACTGCACCAATATGTCAGTAGTTGAATGAGTTGGTGGAACGATCTCATTGAGATCTGAAACATATTTGACAGCATATTGACATCATTAAATTAGATTCTGATGTTGGTGGTTTTGAAATATGGACAGAAGATGTTGTTAAGTTTTGGTTTATATGGAAAGTTGATTTAGAATTTATTTGAAGATGACAGATTTAGTAATATTGATGATTTAAGAACAAGAGAGCCGTTCCACAGCACAAACTAAAGCTGATTGTCATCTGCCTTACTGCCCTGCTATGAGTTGCACCAACATAGCCATTCCAGTGACAAGAAAAAGAAAGAGATGAGGGAGAACGGAGGTGGAGCAGGAGGAGATATTGTGGAAGTGAAAACCTAGGATGCAGCCTGAGGCGAACATTCTAGCAGTAACTTTGATCATGGTGGATGCCCCTTGACAGAGCCTTTGACAACTCAGTCTCATTTGAGAACTCTCTCAAGTTCTAGTTGAAATATTCCCCACCCTTGAACGCCAATGGGATAAGCAGTCCTGAGAAGGATATATGCCATTTGTCATTTTTAAAAAAATCTAAATCAATTACACTTAGAAAAGGATATGTGTCACATTCCTGCATGAAAAGGATATATATGTCACCTGGTATGAGGTGCCATAGGCTGAATGGTGGTCCATGATTCGGAAGCCTATAAGGTATTTGGTATATTGCTTTGTTGTACTTGTTTACGCTCCATATATAGAGGTCTAAATAGCTATGAATTTGTTTTATGTTGTATCAATGGATACAAGGAACATAGAATATGTCATTATTGGGTCAGGGTATGACATGAAACTTAGAAACTTTTAAGGTGCTTGTGGTTTATGTTGATGTTTCTCATAATTTTCTTACATGTTCTTTGTCTTTTTGTTATTATACTATTTTGACACAATTCTTTTGCAGGTTGGAAGCCATTATCACTTTATTGAGGTTAACCCATACTTGATTTTCGATAGAAGAAGGGCTTATGGTATGAGATTAAACATATCAGCAGGAACTGCTACACGGTTTGAGGTTATGCCCATCAACACTTTATATATTTTAGATGAAAACTTTCTAGCTTTTGTACAACTCAATAAAACACAAAATTAAACAAATGACATATTTGGAAATCAATAGTGGCTTTGAAATTTTATTCATGAGCAATTGATACATCATTTCTGGATTATGAATGTGTAGGTACTTATTGCAAGCTTCCCTTCATATTTAACATTATCGTCATCATCATCATCATCATAATCAACAACAACAACAAGCCTTATTATTTGGGTTTAGCCGCATTGATCTTTTGTTCTCACCTCTTCATATTTAACATCATTTGTGTAGTATCACATGTAGTTCAGTGGCACTTGAACATTCCTAGAGATACTGACAAACGAGGGAGGGTGCTTTGAGGAGATCTAGGTCATGCTTGGATTTACTTTTGTATTTATGGAGGTTCTTTAGATACACTTTGTTAAAATTTTCTAAAAAAGGATGAAATTCTTCATTTCTCAGGATTTACAAATCTACCAAAAAAACATTTTAAAAAGCATCTGTCTAGTTGAAATTGGGTACATTCTTAATCCTCTCGTTGGAACTGTGCTTACTTTATGAAGTTTTTCTATGGTATACGTCTGTTGTTCGGCTTGAACAGGTAGTTAGAACCTATGTTCCATTAGTGGACTGGCACAACCTGGGGTCAATATTTTGAATTTGATTCTCAGTCAATATATAGCTATTTACTGTTATCTCCTCCTCCCAGGAATTACTGTTAAATGTCTGCATACTAATGTACAGATTATTTTGTTCACATTATTCTCAGGGGAGTCACAACATTGCCAAGACCTCATTGTATATAATATATAACTATATATTTTACTTAAACATTGATACTTTTGTTCAGACTTAAGTGAAATCAGCAGTCATTATGGTTATTCATTTCTTTTATTGAAATACTGTCACTGCATTGGTATTAAAAAAATGCCAATATTTTCATGCTCTGAAAGCACTTTCATTATGACAATAGCAATCTGTTTTGTCAGTGCGCCTCTTGTTCTCTGACAGAAAGACATAGCGCTTGCAGAAGAAGCACTTTTGGTCATCATTGTGAGCTATAGAAGCCTTGAAAGTTACCTTTCTTTTCATTTTCTGTAGAAGCCAAAAAATTCTAGGTTTCACTGCTAGATATTCATATTATCAATTGAAGTTTTGAACACTAAAAGAAACACTGGTCATGCTCCCCTCACTTTGGAGTTGAAATTTTTGTTGCTGAATTTCTAGTTTTCTTTTTCACAATAGTTATCATTATTGGCAAGCCAGCTTGAGCCATGTAGCTGCACTATATGTGGACTAATTCATTGATATATTTTAATATAATTACTTTAGGTGCCCAATTATCTGCATAGGCATTCTGCTTAGCTCCTAATGTGGCCATACTTAAAGGCTTAAAACTTTTGTACAACCTTGTTTCTTGTGGAGCTTGACAATTTGCTTTTGGATCATATACTTATCCAGCCGGGGGATGCCAAATATGTAACCCTTGTCAATATTGGAGGTGGCAAAGTTATCAGAGGCGGAAATGGTCTTGTAGATGGTCCAGTCAATGATTCTTATATAGAAAAGGTGATGGAAAATGTGATAGCAAAAGGCTTTGGCCATGCAGATCAGTCAGATTCCAGGTGCATGTTTGTTTTTTTTCGTTAGTCTGTCAAAGTCAACAGTATTTAGCTTGATTCCTTTTCTATATCTAATGGTTGTTGGCAGTGAAGGTGTCACTGGAACAGATTCTAACTTAACCACAGAAGTTTCTCGGGAATCCTATGTAAACATGTATGGGCCTACTACTGGGGATAAGATAAGGCTTGGTGACACTGACCTATATGCAGAAATTGAAAAGGATTTTGCAGTCTATGGCGATGAATGTGTGTTTGGAGGTGGAAAAGTTTTACGTGATGGAATGGGGCAGGCTACTGGCTATCCAACCTCTTGTTGCTTAGATACAGTTATTACGAATGCTGTAATAATTGACTACACTGGAATTTATAAAGCAGATATTGGTATCAAAGAAGGAAATATTGTCGCTATTGGGAAGGCAGGAAATCCAGATGTAATGGATTGTGTGGATGCAAACATGATTGTTGGGGTATTTCTTCTACGTTTGATGCAAGATTTATTCTTTTCAAAGCAATAACAAATCTGTTGGCTATAATGTTTGGATCTTGTATATCTCAATGCAGGTCAGTACTGAAGTTATTGCTGCAGAGGGCATGATAGTAACTGCAGGAGGCATAGATTGTCATGTCCACTTTATATGCCCTCAGTTGGTGCAGGAGGCAATATCTAGTGGTCAGCACTTTTACTTGCTAACCATGATGGTTAACTAATGAGTATAATCTGCTTAGATTTCAATTAAGAAATTCAAGAATCTGGACTATGTAACGAATTTCAGTTAAATGTCGTTGAGTAGGATTTGAGAGCTTAATTACTTAGGTTGTATTTTTGTGCTGATGAGGACATAGATAATATATTTAATGGGATGCTGGATGTGCCTAAGAAATCATATACTTGAGAACCAGACCGATCTTACTACCAGGCTTCAGAAATGAAATCATGCATTTAAGAACACATTATAAAAGTATTTATGTGAATGCCAATTCATTCTATTTAATTTAAATTGAGTTATTTTATTTTTTATCATTCAGAGTTCAGCATAAGTTCTTTTACTGCATTTAGCTTTATGTTATATTTCAGATTAGTTCCATTAGCTTCATTTTGTGGCTAATATATATACTTCTCTAAGCACTGAAGAAATGTTCTAAACTGTCAGATAATACTTTCTACAAGCTGCATGGAACTTGAAGTCTTGATATCTTTTTTGAGACTTGTGGCTGCATGCATCAAAGAATGTTGCACCTTAGTTATTAATCATAATTCATATACTCTATTCAGTTCTCTCCATGCATCTTGTAGTTTATCAACTGGAGCATGGCAGAGCCCTAAGTCACTGATTTTCTTTGCTGTGGATGGTAAAACAAGATGATTCTATTGTAGTTGCTGATACTCTGGATCAGATCTTGTTAATTTTAACTACAAGTACATACCAAGTTTTTAATAGGGCAACAATGTCATATGTTTAGGTATCACAACACTAGTAGGAGGTGGTACTGGACCTGCAGATGGGACTCGGGCAACTACTTGTACACCTGCTCCATTCCAAATGCAGTTAATGCTGCAATCAACTGATGATTTGCCAATCAATATTGGCTTTACAGGGAAGGTACTAATGTTCCACCTCTAGTTCTGATGTGTATCACATGCTAATGTCACTGATTGGCTTCCACTAAATTAATTCAAGCCGACAATCTTTGCCTCATAAAAGAAGGATAATCACTTCTTTTTCTTCATTTTCACAGACTCCAATTTTTACCTAATATCAATGGAATCTGGAGTTGTATTATTGCTGAAGTGAATCTGAGGTTACATTATTATAAGGAGATGTAGTAATATTGCACCAACAGACACTTTATTGCTTACCCACTAGTACTATTTGTATATTCACAATGATTTGTCTAATTCTCTTTACAAACATTCTAATGGATATCCAGGGAAATAGTGCAAAACCAGAGGGGCTAGTTGAGATAATTAAGGCAGGAGCAATGGGTCTTAAGCTTCATGAAGACTGGGGAAGTACTCCTTCAGCAATTGATAACTGCTTGACAGTTGCTGATGCTTATGATATTCAAGTAACTTTCATGATACCATTCTTACGATTTCTTTGTCTTAGATGTGTATTTCTTGACATTCCTTTGAAATCTTGACCAGGTCAATATTCACACAGATACACTGAACGAGTCAGGATGTGTAGAACATACAATTGCTGCTTTCAGAGATAGGACAATACATGCATATCATAGGTAAGCTTTAAAAAGGCATTTGTAATCAGTTAAGATAAAATTTCATTTAGATTAAGAACAAGTCTCTTACTTTTAAGCTATGAACATACAGCTACTTCTGTTAGTTTAGAAAGTTCTTCTCTCTCATAACTGATGTAAGGGCTTTGTAAATACAGTAAGGATGTCAGATAGAAAAGACCTGCACAAGTGAAATTGTTTTATAGATGTTAACAAACCGATTCCTAATTTATTTGAGAAAGAACAAAATGCCGCCTAGTTGATGTATCAATATGCCTGCTACCTTTTAAGCAGTTCAGAATAAATTTCTTAACCTTCCCTAATCAAGCTTTCTCTTCCATTGCTACTCTATCAAATTATGTGTATGGATGATGCACTGATCATATATATGTGGCTCCCTCATGGATGGTTTCCATGAGATCAACCACAATAATTATCTGTTGGTCCCATCCATTTTAAACTATCAAATAAATTTGCCATTTCAAATGGTGGAAGTCAACGGTATAATTGGACTGAATATTTACATTAAGAAAATTGAAGATTGTATCACTTGAATGACTGCAATCTTATGGTCTATCTCTATCCTCTGACTTGCTTTCCTTCCTTGTCCAAGTGCTTATCATGAGTGGTTCCTCTTTTCTAATGAATTTTATTGGCCATAGCTCATGTTTGCTTCTAAAGTAAAAATATAAAAATCTACCCTTGATCCAAAGCACCAATCGTCCTTGTTCCTTGCTTTCAGAACTGAAAGTCAAGTACCAAAATTCTTGAAGCATCAGTATCTGCCTCTCTCTTTCTCTCTCCTCTCTCTTCTCCAAGAGAAAAAAAATCTTATCAGCTCATCAAGTTTCTTGATAAATCAATTAGGAAGAAGAAAGATAAAGCAACATATGGTGAAGTGGAAGAGTTTAAACTTAAAACAACAATATTTCTTAGCATTGATCTGTGTGTAGAGAGGATGTGACAATTTTCATCCTTCAAATCACAGTTCAGTTTCGTTCATGAGAACTTCCAATCAGATTTTAGACAAGATTCAGACATCAACATAGGCCGAAGTGTGAGAGAAAATCATCAAGACAACAATTTAGGACTCGGGCAAAGGAAAACCTAATAGATCCATTAGAGCCCAAATGTATGATTTTTGGACTTTGAGCACCATGTTGTATGCAATCCATTCAATTGGTTGTTTGGACTTTGGAGACTGGCTGAAAATTCCTTTGATGAATTGTAATGATAACATATTAGGATGGCAACTTTTCCTCAGTGTAACCAGAGCATTGCACTTCTAATTATGTGGCCTTCTCTAGAAGTAGAATGACATCTATTTTAACCACATTGTACCTGACTAAAACCTGATTGCAATCAGGACAATTATTTCTTTCTTGTTTCTATTTGCCTCTATCAGAAGTTGGTAAGAAACTGTGAATACCATTTCTGCCCTGATACTCATCACCTAACTTAGAACTTCTGAATGAGGCTTGGCCATTTTAGATTCATGTCACAATTGAACTCTGCCTTTGTAGCATATCACAATTTGATCCGAGGATTGAGTTAAAGATCTCCTTGCACTTGAGTGATATGGCTATAATAAGACTAACCCCATTTACAGTGAAGGTGCTGGTGGTGGTCATGCTCCAGATATTATTAAAGTATGTGGTGTAAAAAATGTTTTACCTTCATCAACAAATCCAACACGCCCTTTTACTTTGAATACTGTGGATGAACACCTTGATATGCTGGTAATACATAAACTATCTATTGTTTTCATGATGTTTTACCTTATTCACATCTAAACCCCAGCTGATCTCTTGCAGTTGGTTTGTCATCATCTTGACAAAGACATCCCGGAAGATGTGGCATTCGCCGAATCTCGGATCCGTGCTGAAACAATTGCTGCAGAAGACATTTTGCATGATATGGGAGCTATCAGTGTCATTTCTTCTGATTCACAAGCTATGGGTCGTGTTGGAGAGGTCCTTTAATATCCCTTAACTGCAATTTCTGAGCAAGGATTGTCTTATTTTTGTCTTGTCCTGTGCTGATTGGCAGCTGATGCAGCATCTGTTGTTACCAAGTGCCGGTTCCATGTCAACACATGCATTCTGGTGGATTAATGATGACATACATACATATTAATGGAGGCAAATGACAAAGGGACTCATTAACAGTTGAAATGCCCATAGTTAGTAGCAACCTCCAAGAAAGCCAAAGCTTCCATTAAAACATCATAAGATCATTATAGGGGGCTATTGCTGCTGGTACTAGTTGACTTTATCAGTGCCAAGTGGCATGACCATAGATAATCCTAAAGTATGCTGAAAATATCTGGTTAATGGTATTCCATATAGGTGAGGAGAAAGTATTACATGCTGAGAAAAAGATAAAACACATGCTTAATAATGTGTATATAGTCCTATATCATCTCAAAGATTTAACTCCAGACTTAATTGAACATTGTTATTAGCAAACTCCAAATTTCTTACTTGAAAATGCTGCTGAGGAAGTCTTTCAAGTACAATGATTGGATTTTGAACTCCAAGACTATGCACTTTGAAGCCCATGATAGGAAAGGATATTAAAACTATGCACTTTTCGAGGATAACTCCCGGCAGTGCATATACTACTAAGTTCTATCTCATCTCCAATAGTATAAATATAGCAATTCACAAATTTTCTGCTGAATAGCAGCATGTAGAATAGAGGAGAAATAATCTGACAGTGCAAACTGGAGGTTTCCAACCTAGAAAAGCTAATTGTACAACTTATAGAATATCTCATGTCAGTGACGTTACTGACATAAGCACACTGTATGTGCAGGGTGGTCCTTACTCATTACAGGTTTTGTGCACACACTGGCATTCGATGAAATTGCATGTCGTATATAAATCTCATATAAATTAGATTCTGTACTCAAGGTTTATACAACTATATGATTCTACTTACTGCTGAAAATTTACTCAAGTAGTTTGACTTATGCCTGGATAATAGAATGAGCAATGGCTATCAATTTTTTTAAAAAAACTTGAGAGATCATTTGTTGCTTATTAGAAACCAAAGATATATATTCTATCAATGAATTCCAATTATGTAAAACCAGTATATTTATGGCCTATGAGCTCATGTTTCTTTGGCTTATAAAATATTGTTGCAGTACAATAAAGGAAACAACCTAGGCACCATATTCCTTTGGTAATTTTGGTACTGCTTTAGGGTTCTTTCAGTCTTAAAAATTCTATTAATTTGGTAGGTGATTACCCGGACATGGCAAACTGCTCACAAAATGAAGAAGCAGAGAGGTAGAACACTTGAACCCAGTGGATGTGACAATGACAATTTCCGGATTAAGCGATACATTGCAAAGTACACCATCAATCCAGCTATAGTTAATGGCATTTCACATTGTATTGGTTCTCTGGAGGTATGCCTTCTTCGTTTGTTTATATTGGATTTTGAGTGATAATATGGGGCATGTGGGTTATGGATTTGTCTTGAACATCTTCAAATTACATTAACTAAAAATATATGGATATGGAATTCAAGTGAATTGGACTATTGTGTATGCTTGTTGATAGCAAGGACTAATAATATCTACTGTTTTGCTTTCCTACATGCCATGTGGTTTATGATTGTGTTGTGAACATCCTTAGTTTCAGATAACATAAGATAAATAATGTCAAAATTAAATTACACTTTAATGTACTTTTATTGATTGAGAATAACTATTCTTAAAGCATTGTAACTTTGAAAAGATTATTTGTTCTAGGAATGCTATGTTGTAGAATCTTATTATGCAGTGTTCTTAGTAACAGCAGGATCGAGAAAATGGCTGAAAACCAAACTGCCATGTACACCATATTTATACAACTGTATTGGTATATCCAGATATACCAACCACCCTGTGCGGGATGGTTTTTTTTCAATTATATTTAGTTAGTCAAGTCGGCAGAACTTCTCCTTCCTTATTATTCATCTAGAACTCACCAGTTTTTAGGGATCCTGGTTTGACTAATCATGATCATCATGAAAATTCTGCCTTATTGTGTAACCTGCATCCTGAAAATCCTTTTGAAAAAGAAAGAAAAACATTTCATTTTATAACTAAAGAAAATAATTAGGAAGCAGAGGTGTCTGCTGGATTTTGCAGCATTGTGCTTGTTTTCTTTTGTGTTTGGGCTCAAAAAATGATCTTTTATATCCACGCTTTGTTAATTTGTGAAAATTCTGAAAATTTCCACTCATTGGCGTGACCTGGAGATTTTAGTGTTAGTTACATGAGTAAGGGCTTCATACTTTGACATTCTCGAAACCTTAATTTGGTTGAAGTGCCATGCAGTAGATTTATTTTGCAAAGAGTAGGTGGTAAAGACAGGATTCGAGCCTAGGATCGTGTACTAAACTATCAAAGTCTTTACTAGCCGGGCTAGTTGACACCTTAAAAAATCCTTGTTTTGCTTGACGTGCCATGCAGTAGATTGCCTCTTTGTTAGAGAATACGCCACTAAGAAGGATATTGTGGGAATCTTCGAAAATAGTTCAAACCAAGATTTAAAATCTTGGTTCAATGCCAATACCAATTAGTGGTTATACTGGTAAGTTACTACTATGGATTGATGCACTAACACTGGGTACATTTTGGTTCCACTCAGACCACATGGAGAGTGAGAGAGGAGGGGAGGAGAGAAGTAAAAGAGGAGGAAGAGAGGTGGAGAACTAGTGGAGAAGGAGAAGATGAAGGAGGTAGTGGTGGCAAAGGTAGAGGATGAAGATGAGGAGGGGGAGTAGGTGGTAGTGACATCGACGAGGAGGAGGAATAGGTAGTGAGTGACGTAACAAAGCAGGGATGAGGCAGCAGTTTTGCTGTAGGGAGGAAGAGAAGGTGGATAGGAGAGAGAGTGCATGCGAGAAGGAGAAGAAGAAAAAAAGAAAAGAGGAAAAAGCAAGAGGCAGATGAGGAGTGGGAGAAAGTGGCAGTGATCCATACAGGACGCTGTAGGTGGTGGCGGCAGGGTGGAGGATAAGGCCACGGTGATGCAATCCGTAAGGTGAGGGGTGAGAGTGCATGAGAGAAAGAAAAGAAGAGCGTGAGAGTAAGAAAAAAAAGAGAAAAAATGATAGCAAACAGAGCAGTCTTAGTTCTGAACGAAGATTGTACTTAAAAGTTAAAACTACCGGGAATATGTACTGAATCAATTCTACAATAGATGTTAAGTGTGTTTGACTTAAAAAAGCCCTTTATTATATCCTTTTTCTAACCATAACTTTCTTTTGTTTTGATGTCTTAAAGATTGATTTTATGTTTATAAGATTTCTAATTTAAATTCTTTTTGACAAATAAAAACACAAATCTTTAGAAAGTGTTTCAATGATATTTAGATGATACAGTTTGAGAATTTATTTATGAGGAAAATCAATTTTTTGGATGACCGCTTTTACTGTCTTATAGTTTTCCTGCTTGTTAAACTTTACTGAAGATCTGTGTCCTCACGTAAGTCTATGCTGAAGAGGTAAACCTAAGAAATAATTGGGAGCATGCAGAAGCATATAAATAATGCTGAACATGTTGGAATATCTAATGTGTTCTCTAAGAAGTTCCTCATAAGTTAATACAAAAGTTTTAGCTTTGTTATATCATATGCAATACAATCTTAACCCTTATCTGGACAGGCTGGAAAATTTGCTGATCTTGTTATCTGGAAACCTTCTTTCTTTGGTGTTAAACCTGAAATGGTGATTAAAGGTGGTGTGATTGCATGGGCTAATATGGGTGATCCAAATGCTAGCATTCCTACACCAGAACCGGTATTTCTTCTTTTCCATGATTTGGTTTTATCTCATCGGCAAGCTTCATTTAGTCAAATCCTCTACGAGCTATACTGGTTGCCATACTTTTTTTTTTTCCTATGGTTCTGAATTGACTTCTTGATGTGGAAAATGATAAGTCAGATATTTGTTTCTTCTGATGACTAGCATGTCGTAATTTGACTCGGACTTTGGTGATCAGTTGTCATTTGATTTATCATTCCATTACAGCTTCTGTATCTGTGTTCCTAAAAGAGGTAGTGCAAATGTGTATACAGGTTATGATGAGGCCTATGTTTGGTGCATTTGGCAAAGCAGCAAGCTCCAACTCTATTGCTTTTGTGAGCAAGGTAATTCTTCTTTTTCAGGACAAATTATGTTGTAGCACTACATATGCATACTAAATTAGTGACGAAAGGAAGCTAAACTTAATAGACCTCTTGTGTCTTTAAGGTAGAGTTAATGGCTATAAAATTCTGCTGAAGTACGTTGGTAAGCCATGCAAGTCTTTGAAACTTTGGCAAATAAACAAACCTTCCAGACTTGTGTGTTAGAGGGTGACTTGTAATGCTCAATTGTATGCTATCATCTTAATTTAGAAAGAACAAGTAAATAGAGTTGGTTACAGGATTTCCAGAATCATTATAATGCAGAATATCATTAAAAAACTATGTTTGGCGTCTGCAACGTTGCCAAAGTAAAAAAAACAGGACTTGATCTGTTAGGTTAATCAAATGTATTATTAACAAAATCTGTGCATGACATTATCTGATCTCAACTTTGCTATCAATTCCAGGTTGCGAAAGATGCAGGCATTGCGAACCAGTATGGGCTGAAGAAGCTGACGAAGGCTGTTGGTAACGTGCGTGGCCTCACAAAACTTGACATGAAGCTCAATGACGCATTGCCTGAGATAAATGTCGACCCAGAGTCTTACAAAGTGACAGCTGATGGTGAAGTTCTCAAATGTGATTCAGCAACCTCTGTTCCCTTGTCACGGAATTATTTCCTCTTCTAGGCTTCTCCTTAATGCGCCAATTCAGAACGATGCAACTCAAGGTCAATCGACGACACCAACTTTTGTCGACATGTAATAAAGCTGTAACATAAAACGCACTAAACTGTATTCTGTTCTTAGGCTTCTTAAAATTGTGTTTTTCTTCGTCCGGTATGTGGTTATACATGAAGTGCTTCATATGTATGAATTTAGCAAGCAACACAATGATTGTCATTTCATGGCTTGCCCTGATATCTTTACGATACTAGTGTCGTGCTAACTAACTCGCTCGCAAACAAATGAGAGACCACTTTTAAGTGTTTTATGCTGCATTGAAGGATTAAAGCCTTTTCTTTTGGCTACAGTAGCATACTCTGATATCTTTATAGAGGTGATAGCTTTTGAATGTTCACCCGAGCAATTTGACACCTTGTTGTTGTTAATAAATAAATTCTTTGAGCAGAGATATTGCAAAAGTACTGAATCGGGAGTTCACGTAAAAAATATTCAACCCCTTAAATTTATTAGATACATTCTTAAATTTTATCGGATGAGGTTTCGAACTCTTGATTCTTATGAGTGAATGTATTTTTCACTCCGAAATTATGATCATTGAGAATTAATGGATCCTCCCATCCGTTAAATTTATTTTCTTAAAATTTATCGGATGAGGTTTCGAACTCTTGATTCTTATAAATGAATATATTTTTCACTCCGAAATCATGATCATTAAGACCTAATGGTTCTTCACGTGAGTCACGCATACAATAAGAAATTATACCAACAACCACAGTAATTGACCTAAAGATCAGATGCACCGTTTCCAATGAACCCTATCGTTCCAATCCAAATAATCCTTCCTCGTAATGACGAGTTGCTAACTTTCCTGTAGACTCTTCTTATCCGCCATAGGTATTATTCTTTTCCAAGCCCAACTGGATGCGAGTGCAAGTATGTGGTGCAAAGGTTTACTCGTCAGCAACAGTACCTCCCTCACATTGTTTTCTCTGATCTATCTTGCGGAACGTGAGTTATAACTTGGGAAAATGCCACCGAATTCCTCGAAGTTCTTATTCAAATCTTAAAAAGAGTTCAATATACTTTTGTGTTTTTGTCAATTGGTGGGAGTTTGTGAGGTGCATAAATTTACTGGTCAGATGTATCATTTCTTTTTCTTCCCGGCTTTGGAAAACGTGCATGGCATTTACGTGCTGTGCATGGGTAGGCAACGCAAGTTGACTTGGTCTCTGCTGTTGCCGTATATATATATTGCTCATCGCAATTAAGTGAGAGTTGACCATGTCGGATGCTAAGTGTCTATACACATACAATGCTCATCGCAATTAAGTGAGAGTTGACCACGGCAGATTTACCCACGCTTTCATGATGTAAGCACGTGTCATCATGTAGTTGGAAGCAGTTTTATTGAGTTGACATGATTCACATGCTGCCATATGCACAACAAGATAAGAATATTATGGTAGACGTTGGATTTGAAATAGATAATGCTATCACTTTTGTACATTAGAATGGTGGAGAGAATCTGTAATCATGTTGTGATCTTTATTTACTAGTCCATCTCTAACATATTACAAGTTGATTGGAGAAGACTTGGATCCGTCGTCTAATGATTTCATACTAAATTATTGGTTTGGTGATGATATAAAATATTTATTTATCAAAAATTGATTGTTTAAGATCTTTTTGATGTGTCATTACATTTGATAAGAAAAGACTTACTAACTCTCAATATATCATCATATCAAATGTAATAATATATGAAAGACTTACTAACTCTCAATATATCATCATATCAAAATTATATTCAATAAATTTTTTTTTTTGATAGACTTCCTAACAAAAGAGCATAGTCCGATAATGATAAGAATTGAAGGAATCAGGTGACTTATATTAGAGCCAAAGTTAGTGAAAAAAATATTTTACGAAATATTAACATGTGAGGAGAGTTCAAGAAAATGATCAAAAGTAAGAATTGAAAGCGTTTACCGAGATCCACTGATTAAAAGTAAAATTATTATAAGAATATTCTCAATCACCTATCTATTTTTTATTTTTTTTATAAACCGATCCATCCAATGAATATGTCTAAATATAATATTCTTATACTACCTTATACTATTTTCAATAATACCAAGAAAATACCATAGTGTAATAGAAAAATACTATCGTGTAGTGTTTGTTATAATTTTCTTTTTGTGTTAGTAAAAACATTATAATACAGTGAAAAAACATCATATTTATGGTGCTTTTACAAAACTTGTAGAAACACATTATGTCACAATATTTTTATACTACGTTATGCTATTTTTTAATATTATCAAAAAAATACCATAACATAGTGTAACTATATAATAATTAGGCTAATTTATGGATCGATCTATAGAATAATAATAATATTTCATATATTATATAAAATATGAAAAAAATTTAAAACTTAGGGATCGGGTTTTAATCTTATCATTATTTATTGAAGATATTAGTTAGTAAAAACTTTGACAATATATTATAAAGTTTTAAACTAAAATCTTACTTTCATCATTTATCCTTCATATATATATATATATATATATATATATATATAGAGAGAGAGAGAGAGAGAGAGAGAGAGAGAGAGAGAGATGCATTGCATCATTCCTTTAGCATAATGCTTCATGTCATCAGCTAAATAGGAATCGAATTAGGGTGAGAGGACCACTAAACAAGCGAAGAGGGTATTCTTCGGTACACGTGACCATCGGTCACGTGCATTGCACGAGATCCCAGATCAACGAGGCCTCCGTTATATATACTCCATGCTCGGTCGCCTCGTCTTCGCCACAGAAGCATAAGGAGTGTGTGTGTGTGTGTGTTATCCATCTGCAGTGGAAACAGCAAGCATCGCCATGGCTCTCCTTTGTGTTCCTCTGAACAAAGGAACCCTGGCTTCTCTTGAACTCCCCAAGGCAAGCCAATATGGATGGGTGAGGGGCGTGGGGAAGGCCAGGGTGCAACCTTGCCATGGCAGACGAACCCTCTCTCCCATCCTGTGTTCTGTTCAAGGGAATGGCAATGTGGCTGTCAAGCCCCCGGCTACACTCCCTCCTCATGTCACTTTGGGGAGAAGCAGCTTCCCCCCTGACTTTGCCTTTGGCGCTGCCTCTGCTGCTTACCAGGTCTCTCTCTCTCTCTCTCATATCGATACATTTATATAGAGTAGTAAATAGACAACAAAATGGTAACTGAAGTGAGGTTGATAATGGTGCAGGTGGAAGGAGCATGGAATGAAGCAGGAAGGGGGCCAAGTGTATGGGACACTTTGACCCATGACCATCCAGGTTTTTGACCTTAACAATGACACAAGTGTGCAAACTTGTGTTTGTATATATATGTTTGTGTATTGAGATATCTAAGCTCTATAAGATACTATTGCACAAAGTGATAGATCTATATGTGAGTCCACGTGTAAACATCATATATGTCATTTAATATAATACAAATATATTTTTATTCGAAAAAAGAGAGAGTAAACTTTTGATGGATTTGACTCCAAATGCTCGACAAACATGGAAAGTGTAACCTATCCCTTTAATGTGTCGAAGCTGAGCCTTTGGATTTTTGCTTCTTATATGCATTATTTATTTGTAGATTGATTTCTTAGGTTACTGATACTTTGTTTTCCAGAAAAAATTGCAGACAAGAAAAATGGGGACGTAGCGACTGATTCCTATCGCAGGTACAAAGTAAGTAAATGGGGTTCCGAAAGGTCAAATCTCTTAACTGAGTTTTCATGTTTTTTGTACTTTTAAATCATGTGATTAAGACCTTATTTTAATTACAGGATGATATTGAGATTATGAAGAATATGGGCATGGATTCTTATAGGTTTTCCATTTCTTGGTCAAGAATCTTACCAAGTAAGCATTTTTATTTCCTTCTTATTCTATTCTATATGGATATTGCTAATAATGTAGACCAAATCATTTGGAACAATATTAAGTGTTATATCATCAGTGATACAATTTATCTAATGATATTTTTTATCGAAGGAGAGGGAGGAGTTTACCACACTGTTTTGTATGTCTATGCAATGACTAAGCATATAACAATGTTCTTGCATGCAGAGGGCACAATAGAAGGTGGCATAAACCAAGAAGGAATCAAGTACTACAATGATCTCATCAATGAACTCCTCAAAAATGGTGAGAAAAAAAATGTTCAATAATCATTCTATCTAATACTCTATTATTTTACTGAAATTACATGTAAAATGGATTTATCTTTATTTTCTAAATGTCTAGGTATCAAACCCTATGTGACTCTCTTCCATTGGGATGTGCCACAAGCATTGGAAGATGCATATGGAGGTTTCTTGAGTAGTAAGATAGTGTAAGCATCTGAGTCAACTCATGATTCTTCCATAAGGCTTTGACAATAATAATGAAGTTAATTTATATGGTAGCAAAATTTGTAGTTTAGGTATTACTTCACCAAAATCTTGATTGATGTTCACATGATAATCCTCACATACTGTGTAGTTATTCAAAGAGTATAAATAAATCATTGCCTAAGATGAAATTTGTGAAAGAAGATACAGTCAAACTTCACTGTGTTCTAAAATATCAACCAACAAAAAATACATACTGTGTTCCAAAACCTTTGAGCCATTACACATGTTATGAATCCCTTTGTCAGTTGCTTTTTGATCATTATCTTTAAAAACTAATTAGTAATTTAAAATGCTAAAAAAATAATTTTTAGTGCAAAATTTTCTTACTGGGATTCCTTCCATCCAAGTATCATGCTTCTATATATATATTTTTTTTTTGTAAGAATAATTATGTTAGACATGTCATGTAATCTGATATCATCTTATTTTATTTTTCCACAGGAATGACTTCAAAAACTTTGCAAGTGTATGCTTTCAAAAATTTGGTGACAGAGTGAAGCATTGGATCACATTAAATGAGCCATGGTCTTTTAGTAGCATGGGGTACTCCCTTGGCAAACATGCACCAGGGAGATGTTCTCAACTCTTAGGATGCCCAGTGGGTGATTCCTTGAAAGAACCTTACATTGTTACTCACAACCTCATCTTAGCTCATGCAGCTGCTGCTACTTTGTACAAGAAAGAATTTAAGGTAATTGTGAAGTTGGTTGGTATTTTTCTATTTGCTTACCTTTTGACTAAAAATTTGATAACTCTTCATTATACTAAAAAACCTATGCCTTTTGTCTTAAAAATTTAGATTGCTTACGACCGACCGATATTCGAATTAATTTTGATAATTATATTTTTGCATTAACATAAATTATTTTTCTTTAGAGTAATTTAGATTAATATACATTTTATTTCAGGCAATTCAAGAAGGTGAAGTAGGAATAACGCTTGTGAGCATGTGGTTTGAACCATATTCCACATCTCATCAAGATATAGAAGCAGCCAATAGGGCTATTGACTTCATGCTTGGATGGTTAGTACATAATGTCTTCTTGTATTAAGACAATGCATATACATATTTGTGTGAATTGAAGTGGATGATTAGCTAATATATTTTTTCATCATATTTAGGTATATGGATCCTTTAGTTTATGGAGACTATCCTTTTATTATGAGGGCATTAGTTAAAGAGAGGCTCCCATATTTCACAAACGATGAGGCAGAGATGATCAAAGGCTCTTATGATTTCATTGGGCTTAACTATTACACTTCAAGATATGCAAAGGCAACACCGATGTCTCCAAACTACACACCTATCCTTAGTATTACTGATTCATATGCTGAGCAACTTGGTATGTTGATATCCTTAAATCTCATCAAAATTTCTTTCTATTTATATTATTAATTTATTTGACATAGCCACCAGATGAAATGCTACCTTTGAAGATAAATTTATTTATGTTTTTATTTAAATAATATTTCTTAAATAATTTAATAGGCTTCCTTTCTTTTTTTCTATTGTAGACTACATCACATAATTTTTGTTACTTTATCTAATGTGTTTTTATTTCCTTTCTGCAGATTCTAAAAATAATGTCCCAATCGGAGAACTTGTAAGCTCATATTTTCATTGATTCCATTAATTTTTTCTGATATTCTATATCACCAAAATTTTGTAGATCATATACACTAGACTTATGTGTATATTTAGATGTGTGTAACTCTTTGTTTGTGTTATTCTTTAGATTAGCCCTCATGAAAATATATACATATATATATAATTAATTAATTATTATCTTGTATATTGTATTAATGTGACACAGTATTTACAAGTAATGTCAGAAAATAACTAACTTAAATAAAAGATTCAAACAAACATTTTTTCCTTTTTATTTGATGATAAATGGTATGCATTATATATTTTAGTGCCATATGAAGTGGCTCATTCATTTTGTTTTTAGTTTAAATGAACAATTACCAAATGATATACTTTTATATTTTTGTTCTTATGGAATTAGTTATTAATGAGTATTATATAATTTAAATAACCGGTGTATAAAGAAATTGATTACATGAAGTCAAGCATATCTGATTTCCATAAGAAATAAGAATTATAGCTAATATATTTTATATTTAGTTGCCACAGCTTTCCTAATTATAATTATAATAGCCATGAAATTTATTTCACTCATGAAGATAAAATGCACTATAGTTTTTGGAACACATATATACATTTTATCTCTATAATTACATTGATATATTTTATGATAATAAAACCAATCATCTTTTATTTTCGATTCATTTATGTTATCAAACCATTAGGTTCATTTCTGGTTTTCTGGTTTGATCCGACAATTTACGCTCCTATAACTCTTAATATATACTATAACAAAATATACATTTTCTAGATTAAGGAAGGAATAATATCGAATATAATAGGTAGTTGCATTTTAATTCCTTTATCCAAACTTTAGACATTTTATCTATCACCTTCCACATTCATACATCCATCACTTGTTCAATTGAGTCTATGCAAATTGATAATTATTTTAGTAGTTTCCATATTCTTAATGCAACTATATGAGCTCATAGATTCATAATATTACCTAACTTTTATCAATGCAATTATTATATTATTTATTTGTGTTATCCATGCATAATGCTTGTTTGTTCTACATTAACTCTTATGCCTAAATAGTCAATATATTTATGTTTCTTTGTTGCAGCAAGGCACTTGGATAAATGTTTATCCTCATGGTATGAAAGAACTTTTATTACATATGAAGAAGAGATATCAAAATCCGCATATTTACATTACTGAGAACGGTTAGTAGAAATCTCATCACTATTTTATGACGTTTAGAGTTACCTTATAGAATTGGATTGTGAAATTGATGTCTTAAATATGAACTCGAAAGCTTTGTGTTTAAGCATAACGAATGATGCATGAAATATAAATAAATATAAATATAAATATATATATATATATATATATATATATATAATTTTTTTGGTGCTATATTTTAAATAAAAAACAATTATGCATCATTTTATTCAAGTAGTATAAGAAGTTGCTTAACATAACAATTCATTGGTACATTAATTTTAAGTTATTATTTGTAGGAACATGTGAGTTGGATAACCCAAAACTGCCCTTGGACGAAGCTTTGGAAGATCAATTCAGAATAGATTATCTTTCTGTTCATCTAGCTGAGGTTCGACAAGCCATTCGGTATGCTATTAATCTCAATGTAAATTACTTTGGTAGGTCTTTATATAATTGATTCTGTGATTTTAAATAAATTTATTGCATCGATAATATTGAAAAATCTACTATGCTATTAATAAACCACATTATTTGTAGATATATAAAACCGTAAGTCTTAATTATTTGAGCTCGAGTACATGCATTCTTTATCGTTTCTAAGGTATATAAAAAGCTATGTATTTAGCAATGTTTAGAGTAATATGAACTTAAAAGATTGATTTGTTAGGAAGAAACTTAGCAAAGCCAAAAAAAAAAAAATCAATAGTATATTGTCAAAATTAGAAGGCTATTTTTGAAATTAAATATTTATTTTTTTAATAAGTTAATCATCACATTGTTGTTATGATTATTGTCATCTTCTTTCCGATATAAACAACCAAAGAAATCCACTATTCATATCATTTGGGTATTATGATGGTTCCATGCATGGAAGAAATTTCAATTTAGTTTGTCATTTAAATTAGCTATTTCAAAATCCACTATTCTTTCAATAGAAAACTTGTTTTGATGTGTGTGTGTATATATTGCGACTCCACGTCAAGTACTTAGCTGGTTTTGCCTAAGTCGTGCGGCACCCTTGCGTGTCCGTCCGCAAAGGTCAGCCTCCCCGAAGCCTCCCATTGTCCCTTAGGACCAACAAAAGAGAGAACGGGTTAGAGAGAACGCCTCAATCGGGATCCACAAGCAAACATCTCCGAAAAACACTTCATAGACAATGCAAATTATAAACAGACTTTACAAGCTCTAAACAATTGCACAACAAAGGGTAAAATGGTCCATTACAGACCGAAAATCCACTTTATTCTACGACAGTAAAAATTTATATACCATCTTCACCCTCTTCTTGCTTTCTTCTCTCATCCTTTTTCTATTTAATGTTCCTTACTCTTGTGATCTGCTATAAAAAAAGATTGAATTTAATTTAAATAGTCAGAGCTATATAGTGAAAAGAAAATTCTGATCGATCTTCTATCGTATTCTGCTTTCGTCATTGCAGACAGGGAGTATGTGTAAAAGGGTACTTTGCATGGGCTCTCACAGACAACTTTGAATGGGAGCAAGGCTACACCCAACGTTTCGGGCTCACCTACATTGACTATGACAACAATCTCAATCGCCACCTCAAGTCATCTGCCAATTGGTACACTCGGTTCCTTCACTCCTAAGCTCCTGCTTGAGATGCTCCCTCCTTTGGCCATGATGATGATGGTCAAAGGAGATGATGAGAATAAAGAGGGGTCGAGTGATTATTTCCTCAAGCATTGATTAGTACAAGTTTGTGTGTAATGAAACTTGATCCTTTGTGATTTGTAGTTTGATGCTATGGAAATCTTTCTTTCTTGTGTGAATCCATCATGATTTTTAGTGCGTGATTGCAATGGTCTTTGTTTATATTTGGAGGTAGCAATGAATGATGTCGACTTCACAGAAAGATCCGATCAACCATAACAACAACTTCTAGTCATATTCCATAGAGATGGCATAAGATGCATGGGACTGTGTCGCACGTAGTCTGCCACTTCACAGTCTCGACATGGTTGCGCGGTTGGGACCTCAGGATCTTCCCGTACGCTGTTTTGGGAATCGAGTTCGTGAACACAACTCCGCGAAACTTCTTCTTGTATGCTGCTACCTGTAACACACATGAGACGCGTCAGCTTTGATCTTGGTTGGTTCTGCGCTCTGAAGGAGATGGATGAGGGAGATAACCTTCTCTGCAACGAAACCCATGACTTGTGCTTGTGTTAGGTCGTGGCCTGGTTGCCTCACTATGAACGCCACGGGTATTTGACCTGCTTCCGCATCAGGATAACTGCCGTTTGCACAGAGAGAGAGAGAGAGAGAGAGAATGGTAACCACAGCAGCATCGGCGACTCCTGGTAGCGACTGTAGCAGGTGCTCCAACTCCGCCAGTGGAACCTGCAGCTCACCCACGTTATCACTGTTGAACACTCGTTCTTCCACGAAGAGACAGTTGCTGCGCGAACCTGGTAGGCTTTGTACTTGATCAGCTCCTTCAACCTGTCCAGCACGAACAGGAGCCCATCGCCGTCGAAGTAGCAGAGATCGCCGGTCTTCAGCCAGCCGCTGGAGTCAAAAGCCCGCCCATTGGCTTCCTCATCCCCCACATAACCTGATCACATAGAAGAGTAGATGACTTCGTTTTCTGCTTCACAAGCAGAAAACGATACCCTTATAGATAACAGCGGTGTTGCCGTTGGTGATCGTTTGCATTCTTGTTATTGACGAAAATCTTAATTTTTTTTTTAAATTTAAAATATACATATAATTATATTAATATTTTATTATGAATCAATATATCACGTAAACAGATTCTCATGTCTGTTAACTCAGACTTGACATAAAGAGTTTATATACTATGTTTAAGTTATTTTAAACAAAAGTAAATTATTATGATTTAAGAAGTTCATGATTAAAATCACAAGAGCTAAAATAGATCTTAATCCTAAAATATATATTATTATATTAATAATTTATTATGAGTCAACATGTCATATAAGTAAACTCTAACGAATATTAATTCAATCTTGACGAAAGAAACTTATATATTATATTTTTAAAAATATAAAAAATATTTTAGATGTAAGTAAATTATAAAAATTTAAGAGATTTATAACAAAATCCCATGGAGTAAGAAGAAAATTAATCTTATGTATAATCGTCGGACATTTGGAATCGTTGTCGAATAATTGAATCACCACTGAGTCAATTCAGGGTTGGGCGATCACTTTATGAACGCTACTTATTCATTCCCTCAAAGTACCGCCATGTGAGGGGTCACGATCTCAATTCTTCGAATTCTCTTTCTGACTCTTCGCACGTGGGTGGAGTTGACAGTGCATTCTTTCTAACTCGTGCATGATCGGGAACGCCCGAACTGCCCGATGATTTCTTATTTGACCCAAATAACCGGATCAAAATGGGCGAGTGCTAATGGAAGGAATTAAAATTAAAAGGAATATAGAAAACTACGCAATTCAAAAAACTTCAGAAGACTCGATATGTAAAAATCCCATTATATAATTTAAATGATATAAAGAACAAGAAAAAACAAAAGAAGAGAAATGTTTGTGAAACATTATACTGAGCTCCTCCTTTTGTCCTAAATAAACACATGTCTCGGACAACATTAACCTTAAATTGATTGAAACGCGCGCGCACAAAGTGTCTTTCGAGTTCTCGGGACAAATTGTTTGTCCTTGTGGGAGCATGCACACGATTCTGTCGTGATCATCACCTAAAAGAAGACTGTCTGGTATATTACTTAAAAGTACACACATCGATCGGATCTGTCCTTGCCCATCTTAATCTCTAGAGCATCATCAATCCAAGATCCAATCCAATTAAGCCTATTATATGATATTTTTTTTGTCTTTTCTATTTTCTCTAATCTATATTGCATACAAATTTCGGTCAATCTCATCATATACTTATGATAACATTCGAGAGAGACATTCGAGGAGGCTACAACAAGAAATCAAAGCACACAGGGATCGAATAAGGGTTAGGGTTAGCATCTCCCTAAGCTAACAACTCGATCATCCTAACAAGTCTATCTTTTGTCATCTAAACTTGATAGTGATCTTTGTGGCAATAACAACTTCAAGATTAGCGCAAGCATCTTGTCATGAACTCACCATCTTTTTTATCTAACATCTCAATCATCCATCAACGTAAATTTTATCTAATGATCATTAATTATGACATAGAAAAAATTAAAATTTACATTAACAAATGTAGAAAGATTTAAAAAAAAAAACGCACCAAACCTGAGACATAAGGTTAAGTTGCTTTCCAAATCATTTGGAGAATTAGATGGCTTCTTGAACGAAGTCACCATCAATATAAGTTATCTAACATTTATCTAAACGGAGAGAGAGAGATTTAAGGAGTGGTAGGCAGTGTCACTGGAAGTGGGAATAACAACAAAACATCAGTTATAACTGATGTCCTGTTGTTTTGTGACATCAGTTACAAGAAAACACCAGTCAAAACATCAATCTCCACTATCTTCTTTTTGCATATGCCCTTTCATGTCCTGTTGTTTTGTGACATCAGTTAAAAGAAATGACATCTATTGCACGTTATCCACTCAAACAATAGTGCAAACATCAGTTAAAAGAAATGACATCTATTCGTTGTTTTGTGCGATTATCTCTATCCAGTCAAACAATAATGCAAAACTAACACGAAGTGGGCAAAATTAATTACAACAAAATACTGGAAGGAAATAGTTTTCTAATTCATGAACACTAGTGAGAATCAACGACCACCTGATAGTAGTGGACACTCCCGACAGCCAGAACTTCCAAATGTGGCAGCTTCCATTTGCTCCGATTCTACAAACTGAGTGACTCTTTGTGCTACTGCTTCTGTTCTATTGAAACTATGAGTCCGTCTTCAAGCTGTTGAGCATGGATGAGATTTTAGCAGTCTTGAAGTCATCTCTAAGTTGAATGAACCTGAAAAAAGTCAAAAAGAGAAAGATCATTAAAAAAAGTCAAACCCATCTTATTTTGACGGTGAACAAAATTTTTAGGTTGCTTAGAAAAGGTTTGTAATGACAAAAAAAGCTGGTGGTGGATACCTCAATGCATCTTTCCTGATGCTTGGAGTACCCTCAAACAGGGAAGCAAGGCTTTCGGGTGCCACAATGAAGACATTTGCCACTCTGTAAACGATCGTATGTTAGATTGTATGATCTACACTCCCAGCTAATAATAAATGATGTGGAGGAAATTACATACATGCCCAACAATTCAAAATTTTCATCAATGGAAGGAGCACTGAAGCTGCGAACGAACTCCCCATACTCTGTGATGTCACGTTTCAGCCGCAGCCCACCACTGTGAATGAGTGTTCAATATGAGAACCACAGGTGATTCACAAAAGCATCAAATGCAGAATTTTGATTTATATCATATTCTGTTGGCTTCTTTTTTCTTCCTCTTAAGAAAACTAGAAAACTTTAGTAAAAAAAAAAACTTATTAAAAATCATGAAAACCCAACTTATATAGCTGAATCAGAGGCACAGTTACATTAAGAAACACTCGTTCAAAAGAGAAATAATTGATGGTGTCACATTGTAAGGTAATCAATCAGGTTAACATAGTATTTTAAACAAAATGGTAGGATGAGAAACAAGAATACAACTGAATTCCAACCTATGAAGAAATTCTAGTTTATTCGAAAAAGTTGAATGACTAATGCACTTATACAAACTACAGAAAGATGAAGTGCTTCAACAGATTTAGTGTTGGCTACTTCTACTTGCAAACATTTTTGTGGGGTAAAATCAAGCAGTGTTATTACCAAGACAATATACATAATAGTTTCAAGGAGGTCTGTTAATGGCCCCCTTTGTCGACCTGAAAGACATGTTTTCATGCAATCAATAATCTTAACTATGATGGCAAAGAAATGAACATTACGCTGCTATTTTGATTTGAGGCTTCTCTTAACTTGAATTTTCATTGTAACATCAGTTCATCAAGATAACCTTGTTTAAGTGCTCATTTTCTATACTCGTAGGCAGAGACAGGCTTGGACAAAACCTAGTTTCTTTATTAAAAAAAATGCAAAGGACCTATTTTTCTACTCAGGTTCAGATTCTTTTGTTGATATCTGTTCTATATCAAATAAATTACCATTGATTTTTAAACCATTTCAATATTAACATCAGAATTATAGCCTAGTTTGTGCTTTGCACAAATAAATATATAGTAATATAACAGTGGCGTGCCTTAAACAAATATATGTCATCCATTACAAAGTAACTGGAAAGAAGTAAATCTTATACATTGGTCAAAAATACAGTCATTAGAATAACCATAAAAAGGACAGTTTCTTCACAAAAATGACATAAGGATCCGATGTCATGATAAGTATATGATACATGATGACATCATCATTGCAAAAAGAAATCCTCTCAATGCAGAATCAACAAGTATCAATTTTGTTTAAAAAAAGTCCAAATGGCGAATTTTATGATCCTGTTATTACATCGACTTGCATTTGCTCTGGTGAGATTATAAACTTTTAATGAGGATGGTCACACTTTTCGGTAGCTTTACTATAAGCATTTGCAAATCACACTAAGTTCCAATATAATAAGAATAAAGGACATTTTTGAAGAATATTTTCTGGTAATACTGACGTACTCAAAAGTAACTTAAATGGTTACCTTGCACTAAAAGTAAACTTCTGCCAATGGTTAATCAGCCCCTTGTGCAAGCGATTCCCCTGAAGTTACAGAATTCCATTCAATAAGTCAATATCCACTAAATGTGGGGCCAGTTTCTCATGCATTAACAATAGTAAAATTTCTGATAATCAAGAATATAACATAGGCATATGCTGATGTATGACGAATAGCAAAATTGAGCAGGCTACAATCAGAAAAACTTATTTGTTGATCTCGAGAACAAATACATGATCAACATTCAATGTATTGCATTTCCATGTCTGTTTAATAGTACGTCTGGTAGAATTCACTCCTATAATATGGTTATGTAGGCACGGCTATCAGTAGATGACTACTGGTTAGCTAATTATCCCATTTCTAATATGTTACATGCCGGTCCTCAAAATGCTACAGTAGCACAATGAATATATGCACCAGGTTTAAATAGTTAAGGAGAGATTTCTACCATCTGGATATTCAACTAAATCAGAAGTGCAAATTATTTTTCTAAGGCCGAAAAAAAGGGATAAACTCAACTTAACAGATGTGAGACACACAGACATGAGATTGGATATCCAGCATAATTAATGAGGACAGAGTACTTATCATTCTTTGACAACTACAATTGTGTAATTTACCAATTAGTAAGTCGATAACATGTAACAACAATTAAAGATTCATAACCAAAGATTTTTACATATGTAAGCTTACCAGGTCTGTCAAAAATGACTGCTTGTTGAGACCTTCTAGAGCACTGAATGCAGACTCAAGCACACGAGACAAGTAGGCTACGACTCTGATGATGTCCCCATTGAACACATTAGTGATACATGAGTTACTACCCAAATGTCGAGCAAAATAAACTCAAATGCACCTTATGCACGCATTTGTTGGCCGATGGTCTGGAGCATTTCCATCATCAGGAGTACGGTAGTCTGTAGTCTTTTGTTCTGCGGACAGCAATCGCTCAACCTGCAAAAGGTATATACAGAACTGATAAAACCCAGATAGTAGCATCCACCTGGAATTTGAGAATTAACAAACTTTACATGTAAAATTAGGAAAAATTAGCAAGAAAAAGGATCGCCAATAAGGGAAACATATAACTCTGATGTGGCATAAGTACTGCCAATGTACTCTGATGTGGCAACAAATTGCTTTGAGTTTACACCATCCTATATTTTGCACATCTTGATATTAGTAGAGAATGAAGAGTAGGTTGACAGTATTAAGTTGCAAAAGTCTAAGCATCCAAATCTTTTGTTGATCAAGGATGGTGTTAGACACACCATGATTTTAAAAACTGGTTGGACCGGTATATATGCCGATTGGTATTTGGCAGTCCAACCAGGAACCAGCACCCAAACCAGGTTGTCCTTACTATGACTAATCAGAATATGTCACCAATAAACAACATAAACTATGGGCTCTATTGTGAATCTTCCTAGTATATTTGTCCATTGAAAAAAAATGTAATGATATAAACTTAATACCTGACAAAATCCTTTAGTAACTGGGAATTCTGTGCTTGCACCTCCTATTATCTTACATTACTAATTACTTCAATCTTGAAATAATTAATCTGAACTCAAGAGATGTAAATTTTAGGTTACATTTGGCAGCCCGATTGTTTATCCAAAATCCAACCTGCACTTAAGTTAGATTGACATTTAACAATTTGAATGCAAGCTAATTAAAATAAACAAATCAAAACTATATATTCTAATGAGTTTGAGTGTGATTACCTCAGTCCAAAATACACCCCAGGTTCTAAAAAAATTAAGCATCTTTAGAATCATGGATTTATGTTATAAGAAATAAGTGAAATAGATGACTTCCATCTAAATCTGGCCACAAATGGCATGATCTGGCTTTAGTTTTTGTAAAATATTTGACATCCATTCTACCAAAATTGGTTCTACCCGTGTTTTATTTAATACCTCAACAACCTAATACTCTCATGATCAAAGCAGTGTTCCAAAGAAATAAAGAGAAAGGTGGATGTTTCAACTACAATACAGGGAAAAGAAAGAAATAAGACTGTACAAATACTGACCTCAGCCATGACAGTTTCAATACACTGTTGAAGACCCTTCTGAGCAGCACCCTCTACACTAGAGACAGCTGTGCCCATCTCTTCAAGAGACGCCGCATGAGCATCAGGTGGTAAGAGCCGAGAAATAGTATTTGAAAAATACTAAAAAAGACAGCAATTGTTAGTGGTAATGTCAGTTGTACATAGTATAATAAACAGTAAAGATGTTTCTGGATTGTTTACTTGCTGGAGTATTGCCACACTACTAGCACACCGTTGCACAGCAATCATGAATGATCTGAAACTACTCTCACCAGCAGCAGCAGCAGCCTCGGCCTGTAATTGTTCACAATATGCTAGCCTTACGATTGCATGCAAATTGTATCGATGTCAATATACAAAAAGGTCAGCATGAGGAAGAAAGATAAATGTAGAATAACCATACGGCAGAAGCAGCTGCTGCAGCCACTCTTCTGCTGACACTTGCTCCAATAACAAATCTATCCCTTAAAGCTGCAGCCTCATTTAAACTCTCTCTGGCCCGCTCAAGTCCTTCAGTTAAATACTGGCTAACCTATAAAGAATTCAGCATTATAATAAAACAAATTAAAAGGAGATAAGTCAGCATAGTAAATATGATTATTTGTCCCAAACTTACTTGTCCCAATAAGCAGGCAAACACCGATCTCACATTACCTGCAAGGATAGTGGGCTGCAAAACAGTGTTATCCAACAATTAGCTAAATGAACAAATCAAAGAAATGCATGTTAAACACATGCTTCTTGTTATTAAGCATGTTAGAAGAAAAAAAATCTGCAACTTTAACCTTTTGCACCTCACATCCTTTAACAAGTGAGTCATCAGCATCCCTTGATTTTTACCAAGGTTATATACCAATAGTAACCTTGTTCCAAATAAGAACTCAGGGCGATCACTACCCGTCTAATGAATCGTTTATCTACCAAGCTTGTGCTATGGAAACATCCTAAAATTTTCAAGATAAGTGAGAAGACTCAAAATGAAAGCCCTCTTCCACTATTCATTGGTAATTATGATGTTAGTCCTCTTTAACTGAAAACAACCCCTGGACAAAATTTATCATAACCATGTAACAGGTAGTCAGGTACTACCTCTTGGGAAACCATAATCATAAAACCTTCAATTCTTATTCTTTCTCTCATGATATTTTGCAAAATTTGGATAAGAATCCCATAACAAAAGATAAGTAACCATTAAGGATGAGGGTCACTAAATCTGTGGGATGCCACAGAATCATTGGCATGTCTTGTTTACCTTCAAACACAGTCTTCGCTTTGTTATTCGTGTTGCACAAAATGTTATAGGACATGCACAAAAGATGGACATAAATTACGAAATGCTAGAACAGATTCTAGATCATCATGGCTGACCAACAAATATTGTTTGCTAATACACTTAAAAATATGTTAAAAGACAACAAAACTACAAAATTTGGAAAAATAGTAAATACCAATATCCATTAAGTCAAATCTCTATCAGCTATCACCAACTATATACTTAAAACCAAAATGTTGGAGTGAGTTTTTAAGGGACAAACTAGTGCTAACCTGTGAAGAGAATAAAGTACATCTAGATATTGCTTCCTCATTCCACCGCACAAACTCAGTTACTATAGTAACTGATATCTGTTGGCTTGCAGATGGACTTATCGCTGCTTTTGTACGTGAGATTGTCCCAGTTGATTCAGATTGTTGCTGAGCTTCTGCACGCAACTCGTCCATCTGCAGCACAAGGTCAAAGCAGCCAGTATTTATGTACTACAATCGTAAAACGAAAAATATTGAAACAGAATAATAATTTTCTATTAGCACATATGAAATTAAACCTTCGACTGATACAGCTGTTGTAGGGATGCTTGCTCATATTCTGGATACTCGTCTTTGTGTGGAAGAAACAGCGACTCCGTGAGACCTGATAAAGATAGGATAAAATACTCGAGTAGTGTGATCTCCAACAAATTGTAAAATAATATGAACTACTTATTAAGGAATACTGAATCTTGAGAACATCTATTATATGAGCTTGAGCTCAAAATAAAATATTTTAAGCCAACAGCATCGTTCTGATTGTGGCTGAGCATTTAGACTGACCAAAAACAGATTCACTGAGTTACTAAGATTTAAAGAATGAAAAAAACCGAAAAATTGATCCAATCTCGGTTTATCTAGCTAAAACCTAATTCAACCCAAACCAAACAAAATAATGTCTCTGTATCATAAACCCATCGCATAAAAACGGACAGCTGATCTTGACCAGTCCCTATAAATACGCATTTATAGCCCAAGCATAAGCCTCATTCTCCTATCTAATCCCAACCTAACCAACCCTCAACTCGCAGTCGATGTCTATCTTTCCCCTGAAGTTTGATATGTGTTTGTAGCTTCTCTACTAGTGTTTATATTGTTGAAATAATTTTTTGTGAATTATGCATGTTGTAATAGAACTTAAGGCTTAAAATAGTATTTACTAGCAAGTAGTAACTAAAAGCATTAACCCAGAAGACTAGCAACGACTCATTCAGATAGTAGAAGAAAAGTGAATCAGATGAATTTATGATACTTATTCTATTGTATATACCTTCAGCATCCAAGTCACCGCAGCCAACAGATTGTAATTCTTTAGCAAGATCTTCTGTTTTCTCATATGCCACAGCAAATATTCTTAAATACTGCAGATCCAATTCAAGCACCAGAAATTAATATGAGATTCTTAGTGCTTCTAATATCTAATTGAAATGCACAATCTATCAGCACATCTTACCAGAAGAAGGCCACCCTGATTGACAGGAGGTAAATTCACAAGGGATGGCTTTTCTAGTAACCTGTCCAGAATTGTACTTACTCGTTGCTCTAGAACCCGCTGAGACACAGACAAATGAACATAAATTAGTTGTCTTACACGTCCAAAATTGCAACTTGCTTCAGCATTAATGAGGATTTACAGACTTCCAATTATATACCTGCACAAGAATTGACATGACATCGTTAGGTGATGGAAAAACAGCCATTATCGTTGCTGCCTCTTTTCTCACAGTGTCTGTAATCAAAGTCAACAAATACAAACCATGAAAAAAATGTCAGCCAATTGTTTAAAATTTATTTGGAGAGGGTCAATTACAACCTGTTATTTCTTTGTATAATGTAGAAAGGCCACGTGCAATGTTACTAGGACCAGCTTGTAAACCCTGGTCACCAAGAACTAAATTGATATCTGTGTTCATAACCTCTACATCGATAAACATAGGTCGTGAAGCTACATAATGTTGCATGGCACTAGTCCCCCTGTTAAACTGCACATGAAGTTATATAAGTCTTTCATTAGAGAAAAGCTGTAACTTCAGCAAACATAGATATACTTGAGTTTTGCAAAATAATAATCTCTAATTTACAGTTTTAGCTTCAATGAAGTCTCTGGTAAATCAGTAAATAAGCATGATATAAAACCATATATAGATGAGAGTAACAGGAGCATGCTCGATGAAAGTAAAACTTCCAAAGAAGACACAGAAAGAATTATCAAGAAAAATGAGAATTGTAAAAACATAAAAAGATGAGACTTGAGACTTGAGAGTATGTAGAAGATGAAGAAAAGAAAGCATCTGACTTATAATTAGAAATAAAATTTTAGAATAAATAAAATACAATAACAGTAACATAGATGGTTATCTATAGATGCATTATACAATTCAACCTGATTTTAAAAAAAATTAAAAATTAAAACAAACCAGAAATAGATATTTTCTAGATTTTTCAAACTTAATTAATTCCATTAGTCCAAACATAAAACATGGGCTTGATGGTTTGTGCTAGTGGAGTCAATGAGTTATGTATAGTTTGTGTTCTGATGAAATGCATATACTAGAATAGGACTTTTAACACAAACCCAACCCATATAATAATTAAGCCAAAAGCTACCTCAACCGACCTAAAGATATGTGTGATCTCAGCCAATCTATGTAACCTTTTTAATGAAGAGGTTCATCAGATCAAATTAAGGTTGAGAAAACTAATTTTTTGAGATTTGACCTGCTCACAAAACCTGAAATTTGACATGAACAATCTGATAAGCCCAGTAACTACACAATTTGACTCATTCAGAAGATTCAGGCATGATACAATTAAAACGGTATGCAAAAGCCGAGAGATTAATGCATCAAACTGATTATTAATTGGGTTAATTCAAATTCCTGTTGTCAAAATCCTAAATCCAAACTCCACCCAATCAATAATTGGGTTTAATCATGTGAACCCATTTGCAACCCAAACCCATAAGGAACTACCTAAACCTGCCATCCACAAAAGTCAAAACACAATGTTACCAGCCATACCATATCAGCAAAAGCTACATACCTGAGATAATATCTTGGCGCATTCTGCCATCGTAGACAATTCTCGCCTCTGTGATGCTGCATCAAATCTTGATAACAATCTGTTCTCCAACTCTAAACAAGAAAAAGATATCTATGTGAATATCTAAAAGAATGGAAGGAACATGAAATACTTATCAGAAAACCATGTACTTCCAAAGCCTACCATTACAATAGTCTTGAAGATTTCCAACTGCAACTTCGAGACCCCTACTAGCATTTGCAGCACCCACTGCTGATGGCATATTAATTCCATGTGTTCCAACATCCTCCTCAGCAAATGATCCTATCATTTACAACAAAAGTTGCCAATGATAACTAAGAGGGCAAATAACCACAAATGACTATATGTGTATATATGTATATGTATATGTACACACACAGATATATATATATATATATATATATATATATATATATATATATATATATATATATATATATATATATATATATATATATATCCAAATAGTTAATGGAAGTCAACTCCACACAGAAACCACCATTAACCTATAAAGGAGCCATGATAAATATATGCCAGCGCCTAATCATTCCATCTTGGACATCTGGGACTCCTGAAGGATCTGATTTCACCTCAAAATGGCAGGATTGTTCTCCTTCTCTGTTGTGTCGTGTAAAGAAAAAGAACAACAGAATCTTAAGATCATCAGACACCCCGCCCATATTGTCAACAGAATCCTTCAATGATTAAAAGTTGAAGAGGAATTATTTTAGTAAATTATTTTGGGCCTCTATGATAGGAAATTTCAAGTGTCTTCAGTACAAAGATCTATCCTTAACTTGAGCAATCTTGTTCTTTGAGTTTCTTGCCTTGTATTTTCTCTTTCATCTTTTGTTTTCTGTATTTATTTCATGCTCATAATAAGTTAGGATTGTAGCTTTACTGTGTCAACTTCCAAAAGGCAATCACAATTCACAATTACCACCTCTCTAATCCATTTCGTCTTTAGTATTTAGTAATGCAAGGATAGTAAAATCTCCAAATACAACCATTAAGAATACAACCTACTTTCTAATACCAAGTATTTCCAGTCCTTTGTACCTATATCCATGGGAATACAGCATTTCACGTAACCAATATAACAGGTAATGCAAGCAACAAGATCATTTGCACAATTGTTTCAAAACATTTGGTAGCATAAGATTCATCATTTAAGGTCCTTAAATCAACTACTACTACTTTTCTCCTAACCAATACGAAAACAGGAATTTATTAGACAACCATGCCCCTCCAACCCCTTCAAAACTAATCTCAGTTTTCCAAAAAAATTTCAACAAGAGCTCAAGAATGATCTTGGGCAAGCATGCCATAGCAATTCTTACAACCACTATATTTATATAACTGGAAATCTATGTTAAGCTCTCCCATAATGAACATGAGCAAGAATCCATCCTAGTCAAGTGTACTTTTTTTTTATCTTGTTTGCCATGCAACATAAACAACTTCTTGACAAGCAAACATATTGTAAAAAGTTGATTGCTTCGGTACAAAGTCCTCTATCCATTACTTGTCATCTGCAAACCTGTCATTCAAAAGAAAACTGACTTTATCCGCCAGTCTTTTTTTACTGACCCTTCCAAAAGTACCACCAGTCTTTCCTAAGGGATATGCTAGTCCATTCCCTAAAAACGATTCCATCCGGTCCAACAAAATAGAAGTCAAACAAGGTAAAAGGCTACAAGCAAGGGCTTGGTGCATCAACAAAACCGAAAATGAATACAATGTCTTGGATGCATTATATCTTTTAGTTCACGCTCCTGATTGAACTCATCTAAGTCCTGCCACACCAAACACTTTGTAGAGCTCTCTGTACACTGAGGAAGATCTAGATCAGTTTAACTATATTCGTAACTGCTAATAAGGAAGCTAATTTCATTTGGATTTCTTTCCTCAATTGACTGTGTAGTCATTATAGCAACAAAATAACAATAAATCTAGCACAATTTAGTAATTGGCAATTCTAAATTCCTGAAACAAAAATGGTCAGAAAAAAAATGCAGGTTTATTGAGCAGTTTCACCAGCACTCACTTTATTATATAAAGAGACATTGGAAATCAATCATAACAAGTATATCTACCATTATTTTGTCTAATGAGAGGAAAAAGAAAGGTGACTAGGATTCCATTTCCACACCTAGTCAAGAATGCCCAAGGAGCTATGCATGTGAACAGGTGATATCTAACAAAAAGATACAGCAGTAAACCAATGGTAAATGGCAAAGAATAAATGTTCAAAGAAAAACAAAATATTAAACTAAAAAAATCCAATACTGAACTAGGGTCAGATGTATGCAGATATGAATCCACAGATCTGAAGATCATTACTGTGGTTCAAATTTTGATGCATAGGTTGCTATGGAGCAATCTTAGCACCCTTGGTCTATAATTAACTAGTCATATAAATTATGATATCTAATGAAGTACAAGTTTGTATAAATAAAGAAATTAGAAAAGGATGAAGACCCATAAGATAGAGAAAATGATAACTTACGCAATTTCTGAGCAATTGAAGCAGCCTCAGCAACACGACTGTCATCAGAAAACAAAGGTGAAAGTTCCATAAGGTCACCAGGACTGCTGTTGAACTCCATCAAGTACTGTAATTTTTTTGAAAAATTAAACTGAACTCGGTTAGCAGAAAATGGAAACAGAAGAAAAAATAAATAGCCTCAAGTAATTGCTTCATTACCTTAATAAGCTCAATGGTCTGACTAGCAGTTTTTCTCTGAGAATCTGCACTCTAACAATCAAAAATAGAATAAATAAAAATTCAGTGAATTGCAAGCTATGATTGCCTTCAAGCATGCACAGACTAAGAACTTCTTTGGACATAAATCTCTGTTGCAACATAAGCATGTGTAAGAGAAGCAGCATCGTCCCAAGTAATGCTCCTTCATTTATTACCCTACGCAAAAACTTTACCTGCAGATGGTCCCCAATTTTGGCAGCAGTTTGTCCCACACTAGAAATTCTGGAGTCCAGTCTCTGAAAGCTTTGATGTAGACCATCTACCCCTTTTTCAAGCTGAAACAATGAAGAAAAAAGTAAGCAGAAATATATGAAATACTAGTGCTCAATGCTTCCATAAAGATCAACTTATATAGCTTAACCAAGTTGTTCCTAATATAGTGGGGAAAGATAATAATTCATTTTATGTGGTAGATGGCACGTAGAAAAAAAAAATCACAAACATTCATGCCCAACTTTGTTATCGAAAGAAAATAGACAAGTATCACATTCTTACATGCAAGCAATACTAGATCGAGCATTTTGGAAGGTGACAAGGGATTTCAACTTGTCCAACAAGCAGTGATAAGAGTAGCTATAATTGGCCACATAACCCACCTAAAAAATCAATGCTGGACTCTAGAAGAACAAGGAGTTGAGTATATAAGTAAATGTTTTTTTTTCAGATTTTACTCTCAATCGAAGGACAGGTAGCATATGCACTCTTAGTTAAATCTACATGTTTAAATACCTGTTTTTCATATTAATCAATAGTCAGATGAAAGAGACTTCGCATCACAGATCTGCATGAAACACCTAAAGAGAAAAAAGGGGATATGATGGAATCACAAGAGGGTAATTTTGAAGTTTTGACATTGAAGAATCACAATAACCTTTAGAAGCATACTGCAAGAGACAAGCAAAACAGCATGTTCAGACAGGGATGTAAAAGGTAGTGACCATCAATCAGCATGAGATAACTTATGTAGAAAGGCCTGCTTCCAATAAGCAAACATGAGTACCAGAATGCCAAGGAAGACATCCTGTTTCAGCAGTATATACAACTATTATGTGCAACAAGAAAAAGGTAAGATACTCCTGACATTGCATGAGGTAACACTCTTATACTCATACAACTGTATGCTAAAGTGATGTGTTATTCTTCCCTTCCATTGTCATAATGCACTTTTAGCTCAAGATGAAAGTCTAGTATGACAAGTTATATTTGTGCTACCATATTTCCATACCCTGTCAATCATCCACTCACAGCCCTACACCAAAGAATCAACAGATGATCCACGCCCTTAACTCTACTGATGACCACAAGTGCCAATAATAAAGACTGGTATTCATAATTTATCTTTCCTTGGAAGGTCCCAAAGTCCAAAGTTTAGGTAATCTGAAAATACTTGCTAAAAGTTGTTTTCTAAAACGCAAGATTTACAGTAAATAGGCACAAATCTTCAAATGATTTATAAAACCTTTGGATCGAATTCCATTCACAAGAGTTATTTTCTCCATGATCACCTATAACTAAAAGCATGTTGTGCTAACCTCAGCAAGCGTCTTACGGTGCTTTGCATCTTGGACCTCAACTTCCTTCTTCAGATTCTGGAGTCTTCCATCGATCTTCAACCAAAGTGCATGTATTTAGCACTTAGCGGAAAACAAAATCAACATTTGACACCAAAAACCTTGGTTGATAAAGAACCTGCTGCCGGAGATCAACCAACTCCTTGCAAGAATCCTTGAAAAGCGCGAGGAGATCCTCCACCGCCGGGAACATCGGAATCGCCGTCCCCTGCAGCCCTCGCATAGGGCCATTCGACAGCGCGTCCTGCCCTCCTCCGCCATCCGCGCCATCGGCATCGTCTTCTTGGAACGAGGGGAGAAGCTCGTTCACCAAATTTCCAAACAACGCATCAAACGAGAAATCTCCCTACAGTTCACCAGAAACAAATCAACCGCGAAAGAAGATGACGAAATCCCTGCTCCACCGAGCAGAAAGATCCTAAAAATGCAAAGGGAATACCTTGAAATCGTCGATGTCCAGGATGAGAGGGAGAGTACCCGCCGATGCCTTGGGTGATCCCATTGGAGATGGAAATCCAGGAGATGAGGAATTCGAGGGTACAAGAATGATCCGAAGGTTTCAAGAATGAGCCGAAGGGTTCGAATGGAGGCAGCGGATGGAGGAAGCGTCGATCAAAACTCGAGATCTATCTTGCCGCTCTGGAAGATTGTAGCCTAGGGGAAGATGAAGCGAAGGACGGGCGCAAGAACGACTCGAAGGCTTCAAAGGGAAGCGTGGGTTAGGGTTCAAGATCTACCTTGGCGCCAAGGTCGTGCGAGGGCGAGCCGGCCGTCGTTTCTTCCGCAGCTCGGCGGTCGATCTGATGCTGTTATCGGTGGACAGGCGAAGAGGGTGGCTTTTTAACAGAGACGGGCTGAATGAAGAGCGGAAGCGCAGGACGGCTTCCGGCCGCAACTGTTGGCTTTTACTTTCTACCCGGCTGCCACGCGCTATTAAATTTAAATTAATAGTAAAATGGTAAATATATATATATATATAATATCTGAAACAATAGATTATGTACAAAAGTAATTTCATTTTTCTAAATTATTCCTGAATGATAATGTATTAAGCGTAGTTGGCTCGTAAGTCCCAACCCATCAAATCCGTCAGCCCAATAACAGTAAGTAACTACCTATATGCATTATTTTTTTCATAAAACAACATACATATTTATCCATCGAAAATCAGATTATTCACCCTTAAGTTTGAATTTGACATATAAGCAATCTCTAAGCTATCGTTTATTAGTTGAAACTCTAATATATATATAATATTATAAAAACTCATCATGACGGTAAAATATATTAGGAATATGTTAGATTTTTTTTTTTTGTTGACATGCTATTTGAGTTTAAACAAACTAATGATTAGAAATGATTAAACTAAAATTAACTATAGTGGCAGGCATACCTGAAGGATGTTAATATTTGAAGGAATGCATGTACTATGTATGATTTATATAATAAATATATTTAGTTATGACCGAGTCGTGTTCCTGACTCGATCATATTTGTCATATCTACTAACCTCACAAGAGAGCGAAGGTGGCATGCTCCACGTTATTCCTCCATAGATGTACCCCTTCCACTATCATGATCATCACGGATGTATGAAATAAGATTTCGAAATAAATCCAATTGTATCACGTCAAATCTCTTATAAAAGACGGCTCCATTCAAACAACTATCAGTGAACTCTGAACACTGTAAATTACTTAACACTGTAAAAAAACTTCACGGAACACTGTAATAACTAGGACCTCAATTAATTCCCAGCGAGAACATATCGGTGAGATATGTAGCCCACAGCTCTAGCACTCGGCAACACCCAGAAGATGACAGCAAACATACCATCATCTTTGTGAAAACTCTTTAAGATATCACCACCATGTCAAAACAAACTCACAACAATGTGATTAAAAACAAATTTACCACAAGGGTTTGAATTTATAAGTGCTACCATGACTATCACAGCCATAAAATGATTTAAGAATGTGAACATGGAAAGTCAACCCAACAAAATTTCATGGAAAAAGGTTGCATAAACCACTAACAGCCTCCAATGTCACTTGTCAGGCTTATTTCATTATAGTTTCGTGGCCAGGGAAGGGTATAACCTTGTTGGGTATTTTATGGAAAACTGCGCTGATAGAGAGGGAGGGCACCTAATGCCTCACGCTCTGCATTCTCTTTTTTCACCTGCAAAGCAACCACAATTTCATTTGATTTAATGCAGAACTCTGACAAGCCGAAAACTAAAATAGAACCATAAAGAGGCTATTTACTTAAGAACATATATTACCAAAAATGCTAAACATATTACCAACACAAAAAAGAAAAGTTATATATATATTACAATTAGAAAGACATGGCTGTGGCGGATGACACAAGAGAATATATTACCTAAAAGGAATAAAAGACGTTCTTGACTATAGAAAACACAACAAGAAAACATCATGTTGGCTGTTGAGGATAACTCAAAAGAATGATTAAAGAAACACAATAAAAAGCAGAATCACAAATTCACATAAAGAAACTAAGGGGAAAAAAAGATGATGAGAAGAATAGCCTTTAAATGCAACATGATTATGTTACCTAATTTATGACCAAGATTGGCAACAAAAACTGAGCCTAAAACCAAGAATGAAGAGGTGATGGAACGACTCGGAGGTGGGAGAATATCTCAGGCCACTAGTCAGGTGGCAGTACAGAGGGGAGAAAGGCCCTTGTTAAATGACTAGAGCAACCACTTAATATCATGTAGACCTAGAATATGGTTTAGATATCTTCCCCTTCCCTACCCAGGTAGCACTCTCAATCACATGTAGTGTATCACGAATTATAGAAGAAAGACTTCTTTGGAACTTATGGGATAAGATTAGAAGCAAGTAATAGACAAATAAAGTGACGATGCAACATACTAGTTGAACTACACGTCAATAAGCATCAAAGAGAAATAAGATTTTACATGTCTATAAAGTAAATAAAAGAGAGAGAGCAAGATTTGTTCATAAGAAATACTCACAAGAGCCAGCATATCTTTAAGATAGCTTCTAAAAGGTGTTTGCAATGCCTGTAAAGACAAAACTTTGTTACAAATGGTAATCAAGGTAAATCTCGAATAAGAAATTATGGTACATTACTAGACATGAATTACCTATGAGTCTAGACTACCTACTTAAAGGTCAAATGATCCATCCCGGATAATTAAGAATGTAAAATGATTTTTGTATATGTAAAGATGGAAATATGTAATTCGAGCTAATTTACGAGCCAGGAGAAGAGTAGCAAAAAGAATATAGAAGTTTTACATCACGAACAAAGCCAAAAGAAACTGTGAATAACAAAACAAATTTTGCAGGCATCACCAATAAAAGAGTCATCGTTCTGCATCGCTTACAAGTGAGAGTATATATACCATGTAATTATAGGAAGAAGTTCTTACATCTAATGGTGCTAACATATCAATATCTCTAGCATGGACTGGAAGTGTTGTACGATAAAATTAGTGCAAACGTGGAACAATTTAAGATATAGTCGATAATTATATAGTCAATCAACCATTGATGCTTACCAAGCATAAGAATTATATAGCATCCCATCCTTTTGTGTATTCATGTTCAACCAAGGAAATGGATGTAGTTCTCCAAGATATTATGAATAATCTAGTAAAACATTCTTGACAACTGCAAAAATGCTCTGTTACTAGTTAGTGAAATTTTGCAACAGGATATCTCACCAAGACATGAGAAGGCTCATGTCAAGTGCATATTATAGGCCTCAAATGTCACATTATTGTAATGATCAACAAGGATGAGACTGCTTTCCTAATATGACAACAAGCAAAAGCAAATAATTATATATGTGGAAAACAGGTTATGGATCATTTTGATTTTTAATATGATGCTGAGTTTAGTGCCTCGATAAGTTTTCTCCCTTTCGAACCAGGTGACCAATCTTCAAGTAACAAAACAAAAAGTTAGAAAGAAAAACACCCCGCTTGCAAGGGCAAGGTAATGTGACCCTCCCTGCGTTGGTAGGAGTTTCATGCACTGGCAATTCTTTTAGTAACAAGCAAAAGCAAACAGCATAAGTGTTATGTTGATGCCACAGCACAACCAATTCCAAATAATAACCAACGACATTTTCTTCCCAAAAGAACTACATCTTGTGCGAGGTAGGTCATATTTTCAAATTTGATACAAATTTAACAATTCTTGTGTCTAAAATTACCTTGTAATTAGATTATATTCTCGAATATCTAAATTTCTTATTTTAAACAATAAGCCTAAGCCTATAAAGTCATCTCCTTTCTAATAACGTGTTTGAATGTTTTACACCTCTCTTGTTGAATAAGCATGTTCTTCTCAGTATCCTCAAAGTTTCATGGTTGATCATGATCCCCCTTAAAATTCAAAAAATAAATGTCGATTAAAAAAAGGCTAAGTAGGGATAACTAAAAACTGGATATGCACCCAAATATCCTGATAAGACAACAGAAAACTTTTTGTTTGAATATAGGTGCCGCCCATGTTTTGCTCATCCAAAATAAGCTTCTCAAAGTTGAAGCCTTGTCATGTGCCCCAATTTACACTGTCTTCCTTAGCTAACATACAGACGTGTTCCCTGACACCACCAAGTATAGTCTGTTCCGGCTAGAACAAAGATAATCATAAGTGAAAAAGGAAATAGGTAAAAGACTTTCAGCATGCATATAATATATATTGCCCCAAGTCATCAGCAATAAAATGCAATGTCATCAATTAAAAGTAATTCTAAAACACTACGTTCCCAGGTTCCTCCAGGTTAAAATCCAATATCACCCCGACAAACACACACCAGAAGACCATCTCTATGGTTTTCATATTATATCTAATTCCAGCGGCGTCAATAGAAAAGCAATTCAACCCTCAGCCTAACTACAAATCAACACGAGATCATTGCCCAATGTCAGACTCCAAGCAGCCTAAAGTCCCGAAACCTCATCCATTTCATGTCACCTAAAAAACAGAACTAATCTGCTCGGTCCATCACGCATTCAAATTACCACACCCTCGAAACAATCATATAGTCACCACAAATAGCTTAAAGAGATTATAATAAGATCCGGTGCCACCTGCAGGTCCTCGGGAAGGTACTCGTGCTTCGTGGAGAGATCAATGGCGCGCTTAAGACGCTGGTTCCTGGCGTCCACCACCTCGCGCGGCAGCCGCGCCAGGGCCACCTTGATGTCCAAATCGTACAACGGATCGTACAGATCTTCGTACCGCAGCCCTAGACCAGAGGGGGGAAAAGGGAAAGAACAAGATCAATCGGAGCAGATCCAAAAATCCAAGACAGAAACCCTAACCAAGAAGGGGCCAAGGGATGGTGGGATCACCGTATTTCTTGAGGCGATTGCAGAGGGCCTTGTAGTGCTGGGCGGCGAACCAGTTGCGGCGGGGATTGATCAGCCACTGCATCCACGACGACGCCATCGATCACCGAGACCTTCGCTTTCACCGCTCGAGTTCTCGATCCCTCCGCGTCTACAGCGAGAAGAGGAGTAGTCACTCGGGTTTTATATTTATAGTAACGATCATTTACGGGTTCAATAAGGATCGGGTATAACCCGAATCCATATGACCCGACCCGAAGTTAAGTAATAGTTAGGAAGATAGTGGTTTCGATTTACGAGTAATATATGTTTGTGCTTTTTCATATGTCCTGTGATCTTAAAAAAAATATATGTGTGTGTGTGTGTGGATAGTTGTCATGTTGTATTTTAAATATTAGTTTGAAGGAATATTCCCTATGCATTATGCATCAGATTTAGAGGAATATTTATCTAGAGAAGAGTAAATTGTACTGTTAATAGTTATATATCTTCAAAAATTTTGTGTCATTGCATTGCATGATAGAATTTAAGTATTAGTTGT